CGACGGGCAGGCGCATATTGCTGTGTATCGACTGATGTGTGGCTGCCAGGTCGTGGCATCGACGACTTAAAGGCTGGCGTGCTGCGGACGCCACTGCCCGCTGTCGACACGCTGCTTGACGATCCTTTACGCGTACTCAGAGCCATCAGGTGCGTGCGCCGACAGCTGATGACGAAACACAATACGGAACCGATCATTGTGCGTGGGTGTGTGATGTTGGCAGGTTTGCGTCTCGTTTCGGTTTTCGCATAGCGGATGAGCTCGAGGCGGCGTGCCGGGACCCGCGAGTGCACCAAGCGCTGGCAAACAAGGTGAGTGACTGACCGACGCAATACACCGACGGTCGTCATCTTGTAACGGCAGCCGCATTCTCCCACCAAGGTCTCTCGCGAGCGAATCGGTGCGGAGCTGGACAACATGATGGGAAGGAGCCACCCCGTCCACGCGTGGCTGCTGATCACCTCCCTCCGCCTGGCGCCCATTCTCTTCGAACTGCCGAGAAAGATCCAGTGGCGGCCCGAGCAGCTCGACCGCTATGTGCGGCCTTCAGCGCCCGATGTGGTGCCGCCCGGCGATGTGGCGGGCAACTACACATTTGAAGAGGCGGTGTACAGCGACGGCATGCAGACCGTGCAGAACCTCCATAGCGTCATCGACAAGTAATGACATCAGTATGTGGCGCGGGAGAGTCACGGAACGCATCCATAAGTTGCTGTGTGTGGTTTTGGGTAGGTTGCAGGGGGACGGTGTGTTTTCGATGGAGAAGTGGGAACCCGATGAGAAGAGACTTATGAGATATGCGGCATTCCTCGCACCCATCGCCGGTCCGAAAGGAAACACACGCACACACAAAGACAGACGGACAGACAGACAGGCAGACAGACAGACAGACAGGCAGGCAGACAGGCAGGCAGGCAGGCAGACAAACGAAGGCTTCTCTCTCATGTGCGTCTGGGTCTGCGCTCGTGGTACCAGGGTTGCAGTACGAGGGCAAGAAGGGCAAGGCCTCTTCCGTCGTCATATACCTCCTGGGCGACCGACTCAAGCTGCCAAAACGAGACGCAGAACGGTACGCTACACGAAAAACACGACCAGTCCACCTCCTTCTTCCCGCCCTCTTCGCTCTTCTTTGTGTCAGTGTCGATCTCATCCTGTCAGTCGCCCTCGAGTACCAGCGCCTCGTCGGCGACTGGGGCGAGGGAGGCGTCCCCCCACCTCCCAAGACCCACGCAGGCGCGCCATCCGCAGCGGCTCAGCAGCAGGAGGGTGCAGATGAGGCGGATGGCACCACGCACGAGGGCTCTTCTGCATCTCAGCGGTACCGCCGCGTCGACCTGGGACTCATACTTAGAAAGGCGGGGCACCTGTGGAACGTACGCCGACTGGCACCAGCATCCATGAGATCTCGCTTGGCATCCATACTCACTTACGCGTGTTGTCCATGTGTGTCTTCTGCCCCAGGCGTCCCTGATGGTAGCAATGGCCGGCGCCATCGGCAGAGTGACCCCCTCATCCCCATCCCACACCCAACCCACCACCCCGCCTCTCAGTGGTCCCCCGCCAGCCGTCCCCCTCCACTCCTCCAAACACGTCATATCCAGCTACAGGGCGGTGAAGGAGGCCGTGGAGTGGTTCGGCCTCGACGGTGTGTGGGACAAAGGGCCGCCGCTGGACGGCAATGCGGTCAAGAGCGTGCTGCCGAAGTTGCCCAAAGGTCCCAAGTTCAAAGAGGTCATGGACGAGCAGGTGGTGTGGATGCTGGGGCACCCTGAGGGGACGGCGGACGAGTGCAGGGCGTTCATTAAGGAGAGGTTCGCCGACTTTGCGTGAAGAGGGAGGGAGAGAGGGGTCGATGCGATGGATAGATAGATGACTGCGTCGATTGGATGAGTAGGGAAATCGAGGGATGCGTAAAGCAAAGCACGTGTACAGTGCAGACAGACGGGAACCAGGACACACGCTTGTCTGATGTCAACGACAGATAACGTCATCAAGGGAGGGATGATTGTCCATCAACCGTTGGTTAAATCAAATCACGATCACGCAGAGGTCCGGCGCGCCAATGAACACACAATGCAAATCGATTGGTCTCTTTAAGTAGCACCACCCCCACACACCCATTGTATACGCCCATGAATGGATCCATTCACTACGTCAGTGATCCCTCCCCCGTTCGGCAGCCACACGCATCACACCCCACTTACAAGCCTACCCCTATCCACCCACCCACACATCCATCTCGCCCCTCCCCATTCTATCCATCTGTCGACCCCACAGCTGGCCAGTGTGTTCCTCATCACTTCTTCTTGGCCTTGGCCTTGGCTTTGCTCTTGGTCTTGGCTTTGGCCTTCCCCTTGGCCTTCGCCTTGATCACCTTCTTGCCGCCCACTGCTGCACCCGCATCCGCACTAAGCGCAGCCGCTGCAGCTGCAGCTGCAGCAGCAGCTTTGGGCGCCTCCTCCTCTTCTTCCTCTCCCTCCTCGGCTGCTGGCGTCTCCTCCGCAGCGGCAGGCGCGGTCTCCATCGCCTGGAGGCCGGCGACCTTCTCCTCGGGCTCCACGCCGTTGGCTTTGGTCTCATCCGCCCTCATGACGGCATCGGATGTGGCAGCAGGGGCGGGCGCCGGGGCCGCAGCAGGGGCTGATGCTGGTGCTGGTGCAGCGGGAGTGGGGGCTGCGAAGCGCTCCATTCGTTTCTTGGCCTTGTCTGCTTCACTGGCGGTGCCGAACCGCTCCATCCTCGCCTGTATCTTGTCAGCCTCGCTTTGCGGTCCGAACCGCTCCTTGCGCTTCTTGGCCTTGTCCTTCTCCAGCTCGGCGTCGAAGAGGTTGAACCGCTCGGCACGCCTCTTGAGCCGCTCACGCTCGCTGTCCCCACCAGCACCAGTGGGCGACGTGCCGAACCGCTCCTGCCTCTTCCGGCGCTTCTCCTCCTCAGTCTCGCCACCAGCACCAGTAGCACCACCACCACTCAGCGCGAACCGCTGCGCCCTCTCCACTCTCTTCTGCTCCTCACTCCCACCACCGCCGCCGGCAGGTGCCCCGAATCTCTCGACCCTCTTTGCCTTCTTGTCCTCGAATGACTCGATGCCGAAGCGCTTGGCCCTCTCGGCCTTCTTCTGCTCCTCGCTCTCCTTCTCGCTCATCATGGAGCGCACGTGCGGTCAGTCGGCGAGAGAATCAGCAGATGAGACAGTGCGACTTGCGGCAGCTGGGATGCGCTGTAGATACTGTCACAGCGACGCAACAGCCAGGGGAAAGCAACTGCGAGCTGGATTGTAACTTAGGACACTTGTGAAACGGTAGGGAGCGTTGGAAGGGAGCGGTTCGGGGAGAAGGGGATGGGGATGGTCGTCCGGCCTAACACTAAGCCCCGGGTCGACAGGCATTGGGAGCTATGAACCGCAATGGTGTCGATGTGGCCCAGGGTGTGTCACACATGGAGCTGGATGTGGCTCAAGCGGCATCCCAAGAAGAATGGCTCAAACGAACAGCTCGACTGCAGCGACGACGACCCGCCATCCCCACTGCTGCGGCTCCCTCCCATCCGCTCGTCGGGCGCCCCTTTTCTTCTCTTCATCCCGCTGGCCTGCTTCGCCCTCATGCTGCTCTCATGGAAGCTGTCGTTCCACCCCGGCCACGCGGCTTTCTATCGGCGCAGCGGCGATGTCCGTGACGATTGGGCCATATCGGAGGCCGTGATGGAGGACTGGCTGCCTTCGTGGGTACGGCCGGAAGACTTCAACTTCGAGACCCTCTACGAGCCACCGGGCGGCGACTGTAGCATCCTCCTGCTGACGGCCGGTGACGCCAAGATCTCCATCGCCGAGAAGCTGGACCTCAACCGCAAGGCCTTCGCCGCGCGGCACGGGTACTGCTTCAAGCACTTTGAGTGCCGTCCAGACTATGACAAGGAGCCGTGCAAGCACCCCCACTTCTGGCGGTACGTGGCACTGTGGGTGCTCTTCGGCAGCAGGGGCCCACAGCACCTCCGGCCTAGTGAGGGTGAGGGCGTGGAGTGGGTCATGTACCTGGACCTGGACACCATGTTCACGAATTTTGACAAGCGCGTCGAGGACCTGACGGAGCGGTACACCACCGACCGGACGGGCCTCATCATCGCCGCCGACCTCAAGTGCTACCAGCCCCTCTACCCCGTCAACAACGGCGTCATGCTCTTCCGCAACACGGCCTTCGCACGGATGCTCGCCTACCACGTGCTCGTCAAGCAGGACTACCGCGGGCAGCTGCTGCTGGCCGAGAACAACATCTACCAGGCGCGCGGCCTCAAGGACCAGCCCATCCTCACCCACGTCCTGGCCAACGACACACACATACGGCACATCGACCCAGACGCCATCCGCGCCGTCTGCAACGTGACAGCCGAGCGGCACCAGGACCTGCAGGGCCTCCTGCAGCAGACGCCCTTCGTCAGTGTCCTGGCCAACCGCGAGATGAACTCGTTCCGCCGGTCGACGATCCACTTCCGCAAGGACCGGCCGGAGGGCCACTGGCGGCCGGGCGACATGGTGGCGCATCTCTCGGGCCTCACCCCCATGCGGCCTGCAATGCGCGACAAGTTCCTCAAGGAGGTCTGCGACCTCTCGCCGCCCGAGGTGTGTCCGTTCGTCATCACCCTTAACGAGACGGAGGTGCGTCTGGCGGAGGAGGACATGTGGAAGGAGAGGCGGCGGAAAGAGGAGAAGGAGGCCAGGGAGGCCGAGAGGGCAAGGGCCAGGGCTGCGATGGTGGAGCAACAGGAACAGGCGCGGGCGTGAGGCGGGCAGGGAGGGGGGAGAGAGGGACGCAGGGAGGGCAGTTGACTGAGCGGGCGGGTGCAGGGAGGCCTCGAGGCAGCATAGTGAGTGGCGTCGGAGGAGTAAAATGGATGGATGGATGGTGAGTCAGTGAGGGGATGGATGGATGGATGCGGCGCTTTTTCCGTCGTGTAGTGAGTGAGATGGGATGGCATGGGAGGGGCTTGCTTCTTGTCTGTCTTGCTTTGCTGACTGACTTGATTGTTCTGGATCGATCAGTGGATGCATCTAGTACATGTTCGTATTTGTCTGTACGTTTGGTTTGGATGGCTGGATGGATGGATGGCTGGAATCTTATCAAAGTAGGTCTTGTGTAGAGAGATCCGACGCTGCCTACCTACCTCTACCAGCCTGCCGCTGCCCGCCTGCCTGCCTGCCTATATTTGTGGCTGGCTCCATGCGACCGCATGCTTGCCTGCTTGCCTGCCTGCCTGCCTGCCTCTATTTATCCCTCTGTGCGTGTGTGTGTGATCTAAGTTCTTTCGGGCGGGGGGGAAGTTCGTGTGCATGCACGACCATTCATCTCTGGGTCGATTGATGATGACTTGCTGGGTGGCTCTCTCTCCCGCCTCTCTTTCATTCATTTTGTCGTCCCTGGTGTCTGTCTGTCTGTCTGCCTCTCTGTGTCCGTCGCCTTCTCGTGTGTCTGTGTTGCGCGTTTCTCTCTGTCTGGCCTGACTGACTTGCCTGCGTTCATCAATCCATCCATGCCTTCCATGCAGCCATCTCATCCTCACCTCCCTCCTGCTTGCGTTGCGTGTCTTGTCTTGTCTTGTGCGTGTTGGATGTGCCCACATCATGTGTGTGCGCAGAAAGTCTGATTCACCATGTGTAGATAGCCATCGCTCGCGTATGGGCATGCACATGCATCTGCCTGTGAGGCTGACACTCTTGACATTTTGGTTCAATCAAGCGCTCGTCGGTATCTATGAGTTCGATCTATAGGGTTTCTCTGGGGTTCTAGGGTTTCAGACTCTCGTCCAGAACACCGGATTGGCGCAGCTGAAACACGCCACCACACGGCTCGGCTTATAACACGCACGCGTGACGGCAATGACGTCCAAGTCCATCCTGCGTCTGGAGCATCTGGAGAATGGGATGCCTTTGCTGTACCACCAGCACGCCATCACACACGTGGCCATCCGCAGGGACAAGAAGCTGCCGTCCCAGCTCGTATACCCAGATGGCAACATGTCCATCGGATTCCCGCCCACCTCCCTCAGGGGACTCTTCTCCACCGTGCGAGCGGGCACCACAGAAAGTGCGCCTGACAAGACACACAGGCAGACAGACACGAGCATACAGAGCAGGAAGGCAGGCGGGAGGAACGGGGAAAGCAGAAATCCATGTTGTTGTTTGCTGTGTGCTGTTGATGTGTGTACGTCTGTCTGTGTGCCCCCTGTGGCAGGTGAGGAGGAGAGGCAGCAGCGGCTTCAGCAGGGCACTGTGGTCGTCTACGCCAGCGAAACAGAACGTACGTACGTGTGGGCACCTACCTATCATCTCTGCACACACACGCCGTGTATCTCGGCTGGTGGATCGGCTGGTTGGTCTTTGGTTGCAGGTGCTGTAATCCAGCCGATCCTCGAGCGTCTTGCTTTCTACTGGTTTCTCTGCCTCGCCATTCAGGCCATAGGCATCATCGTCGCATTAGCCGGTCAGATCAAACACACTTACACCCACACAGATGTACGCAGACAGGCACCGAGAGTGTGTGTGTGTGTGTGTATGCTGTGTGTTGGCTGCGTCCGCATGTTGATGCGGTGCAGGTGGGTCATTGGTGCCGTTCAACCCGCCGACCGGTGCGGCAGCATCACCAGGGCAGTTGTCATGGGCCGTGCAGACGCTGTACTCCTTCATGCTCGGCGTGCACCTGCTGCCGTGTAAGCACAGGTGTAGAGGGGCGGACGTGACGCTTGACCAATTCATGAGTGATGGGTGTGTATGTGTGTGTGTAGTGGTAGGGTACTTTTGGCGGTTTGCTGACTTCCTGGCTGTATATAACGCCCTCAATGTGGTCCTCTTCCTCCTGGGATTCGCCCTCACTCTCAACAGGCAGGCCGGCCAACAAAACCACACACAGCCCTGCCCTGCCAGAGACTGATTTCGACCGACGTGACATTGCACCTGTGTGTGTGTGTGGTTACAGTTTGCTAGCTGTGATCATCCTGTTGTCGACGGCGGGGCTGCGGGTCATCGGCTCGCACGTCAAATTCTTCGCGGTGAGTAGCCATGCACTGCACACGAACTCTGGAGAAGACAGGGAGTTTTGTGTGTGTGTGTGTGTGGTGTGCAGATGCCGCACTGCTTCACGGTCAAAAGATAGCGATGACAGAAGCTGAAGATGGCTGTGGCTCAAGCTGAGGCGCCTTTTTGCGCTGCATGGAAGCTGGCTCAATGTGGGTATGACACGTCACATGAGACTCGAAAGGCTGTTTTTGCCGTGAGTGGAGTGGAGCTGGCTGCCGGGGCTCATGTCGCTATGTCTTGGGTTGGAACAGCTGCTTCTGCTGCAACAAGCCGATACGCATACGTGTTGGCTGGTTTCAGTGGAAGGCAGCCAGAGCTACCCGAGACACAGTCGATCGAGCGGGGGCAGACAGACAGACAGGCAGGCAGGCACGACGTGCGGTGTGGGGAAGAACACGCGTGCATTGACGTCCATTGAATGAATGGATGGAATGGTTGGTACGGATCCAAACACTAGTCGCATCGCGCAATCGCATTCAAGACATACATATCCACGTAGCTAGCTAGCGACAGAGGTTAGGTAAAATTGGCCCTATCGAGCGCTGTCTTCTTGGTTCGGAGGGCCACAGACACACACGCATACAGACATACAGACAGGCACGCAACGCAAAGGAAGTCAGCCCATGTGGCGCTATTGGTCCGCCCGCCCCTTTTGCCCTTTTCCCCTTTTTGTTCCCCTTCCTGTTCCGTCCCTGTACACGTACGTAGAGCCCTTTGATGTACAGACACATGTACTAAGCCAGACAAGGCGGGTGAGGTGGGCAGGTGGGCAGGTGGGACGGAGACAGAGACGTACCCCTGTTTCGATACTCACACACACACACAGACCGACGGATCAGAGATGGCAATATGTCTAAATCGATGATGAAAATCACGGCAGGCACAGGACGGGACGCATAGATATCAATTGGATGCACACACCACATACGTATCACTTGGCTGCCGCTCTCCTTACTTAATTCACCCACCACCCCACAGACGCCACAACGTCCGCACCCTCCCAACACACCCGAGACACATCACCCGTGGTCTGCCTGCCTGGTAATCAATGACGATGCAGGCCCACCCAGCGATCGTACGCACACCTCACCTGTGCCCGCCCAGCAAGCCATGCATCCAGCCACCAGTGATAACAAAAATAAACCAAACACCGCACGCTGACCAGTGTGTGTACGCGTGTGCGTATGTGACCAAAGAGCATGCGATGGGACCTTCCCTTCCCCCCTCCCCCTCTCTATCTGTCTGTGCGTGGTGCATTGTGTGTTCAATATTGACAGGCGGCATCTATTCTATCGACATCTAGCTCTTACCGATCATCCGTTGTCTCTCTGTGGCGTCGAGAGCGCACCTCGCTGTATCTACCTACACCAATGGATGGATGGACAAATGCAGGCCACTCCGGAAGGAACGAGGGGAAGAGAAAGGAGAGGAGGGAATTGGTTTCATTTCGTTCTTCTTTCTGCTGTTGCTCTCTTCCACACGCGCAGGTCGGTAGGCAGCAGGCACGCAGGAACGTGCGCATAAAACAAAGGCAGACTGATAACAAACACGCGTGTGCACCCCTTCAACCCCATCCCCACCCCGATCGTTAAATAAGGCCACACACACACACACACGAGCACCCCACGAGGGAGACCAATTGACCAATTCACGCACCATCTGTGCAGCTGAGAAGGCAGGCACATGTACCTACGCACACCAACACCAAAACAACAACATAAACACACAGAGACACAGGCAGGCAGGCAGGCAGGCCAAAAGAGATAAGCCCAACATCTAGCTATCGACAGACGCATCCATCGCTCCCACAAACCCCACCAGTGCCTCCCTCAACACACGTGTCAGACTCCCCTACTGATGGAAAACAATCTGTCTGTCTGTCTCTCTCTCGCCCGGTCAAATGCTACCTGACCTGTCTGCCCGCGAATGCATCCATCCATCCATCCACCCATCCATCGACAAAACCCACACACGTGAAGTGAAGAAGTCTTCCAACACGGACACACTCACCCACGGACTCACCGAAACGAGACTGTCCTGCTCTTGCCCCCCACCTTGCCGCCCTCTCCGCCCCCGCCCCCCCTGTGTATGTCGTTGATCATGTCAGGTGTGGTGGGCTGTGTGCGGCACCCATCCCGCGTCTCCGCCCCCGCCACGTACTTCTCGATGGCCGACCGATAGCGGCCCCACATGAAGGCCATGGCGATCCCCACACCCACAAACAGCACCAGCCCGGTGGAGAGCAAGGCCACCAAAAGGGTGTAGGTCTCGTCGCCGGGCTTTTTGGAGTCCCGCTCCACCAGCACCTGGCTGTCACTGCTCCTGCTGCTGCTTCCACTTCCTCTCTGGCTGTTGCTGTTGCTGTTGCTGGGGGGCTCGGCTTGCTGCGCGCCGTCTGTCTTGATGGCGGGGGCTGCTTCTTCTGTGGGCGGCTGCCTCTCTTGCACACTCTCACTCTCATCTTCGCTCTCACTCACAAGACCGCCCCCACCTCCCCCGCCTCCTCCACCACCAACAGCCGTCGTGTCGTTGGCATCTTCGGTCTCGTTGCTGATGGTGGTGCTACGATCCTTGTCGGGCAGTTTGACAAGGTGCTGTGGGTCGGGGTCCGTGACGCGGAATCGCTTTGGGACGTCGCTCATGGGCATGGAGGTGCTGAAGAAGGGGTCGAGTGCGACGTCCTGGTCTTTGAAGGCGGCGTACTGCTGCACCCTGTCCAGATACTCGGACCGGAACACCGCATCCACCGTCTCGTTCAACACCCTAAGGCAAAGGCAAAGAAAAAAAGAAGAAGTAAGGATGTACTTATTATCCGTGTATGCGTCTCTCTGCGTTTGGTACCGACCGGAATATGAGTATGAGCGACCCCTCCTGTGCGTGGAGGATCTGGATGGCATCGTAAGAGGATCCCGTCAGCTCAGCCAACAGCGCCGTGACCCTATCCCTCCCCTCCTGCACACAGACAAACACCACACCCAGACAGGGACGAATGTCTCTCCCCTTGAACAACTCTCCCCCTCCCTCCCAGCCTACCGGTGCGTCGAACATGGCCAGGTTCCAGTTTTCGATTCTGAGGGTGAGCACCTTGTCGTCAGACATCCAGTCGCCAATCCGCAAGTAGGACTGCGCCTCGACGGTGCCGTCCCCCTCCTGACGCTCACTGGAGCTCCCCTGATCGTCAGCTTCCCGCTTAATGAGGTCGACGAGTGTGTCGTTTGGCCCCAGAAGGCCGGTCTCGTTGGTGATGGTGGTGAGGGTGGGCGACTCGCGGCTCTCTCTGGTGGTGCTGTTGCCGGGCTTGATCGTACTGTTGGTGTTGTCGGTCACAGAATCGTCTAAACACATACACGGACAAAACACACAGAGACGGATCGAACCCATCCCATGTCTGTTGGCATAAACAGAGCGTTCCTGTGCCTACCTTTGATCATTCTGAAGTCAATGCATCCGTCCTCGATATCGCTGCACTCTTCGACACTGCACTCGCGCAGCATGACGTCCAGCGGCCCGTCGGCGTAGGTGTGCCGGTAACCCAAGGGGTAGGGCGTCTCGAACTTGGCCGGCTCACCGTCCAGGCAGCCGTGGAGCGGCCACCCAAAAGACAAGCGACCATGGAAGTCGTAATCGCCGTACAGCACCTGCGCCACACCCACTCCCTCCGAACCTGCAGGACACAGACAGACATGCAGACACGTGGACAGACAGGTGAGGTGCGTGAGTGGATGGGTTCGGCTCGACTGGGTCACCAGGCAGCCATGCGACGACGAATGCATCTGCCGTGTTGATCTGGGGGTTGACGTACTGCGGCCGGCCGGTCAGCAGCACCACTATGAGCGGCACCTTGGTCGCCTGCTCCTTGATTGTGTTCAGCAGCGCCACGTTGACTTTCCCTGTCCCCAGATAGACACACGCAGACGTCGCAGACGACTGTCTCTGTCTCTGCGGTTTGTTCGGTGCGTTCTTTCCTTACGTACCCTCGTCAGTGAACTCGTATGAGAGCGGTTTTGGCCAGTGGACGTCGCCCGTCCACTCGGCGAAAGGCTCCTCGCCCAGAACGACCACAGCGTAGTCAAACGAATCGTCGATGGCGCTGGCATTGCGGCTGAAGACAATCGTGCCTGAAATGCAATTCAATGCAGACAGATGGGGAGAAGGGGGCATGCGCATCTCTGTCTGTGTGTGTGAGGTGTGGGGCTGACCGTTGTCAGGGGAAGACATATATGTGAGTCCTTCTTTGATGGTCGTGGCGCCGTTGGCTTGGAACCACTGATTGGGTAGCAGGTCGTCCGTGAAGGTGGGGGGGTAGTCGTCCGATCCAGTGATGCTCCGTGTGTCATGACCCTGCAGCCCCTGATGCTCCTCAACGTGCCCCTGCCACGTCACCGTCCAGCTGCCGCACTGCCGCACCATGCTGTCCGCACCGTTGCCCGTCACCAGCACCTTGGACTTCTTCCTCATCGGCAGCACGCTGTTCTTGTTCTTGAGCAAGATCATCGACTTGCGCACGGCCTCCTGCGCAACGTACCGGTGCTCGAGGCTGCCCACGCCGCCTGGGGTCTCCCGCGCCTTGCCCACGCCGCTGCGGGCAGATGGCGGTTGTCTGCGGTTTGGCTGCTGGCGCAGCATCCTGTTGCGCCACTTGACGCGTAGGATCCGCCTCACGGCGTCGTCGATGCGGTCTTCGCTAATGACGCCGTCGCGCACCTGCGTGGCGGTGTTTGTGATCATGGCCACGCCGTTCCACCAGAATGGGATCATGAAGGCGTCGATGCCGGCATTGATTGCGGTGGGGCAGTTGTCGACGGCGCATCCGTTGAGGTTGGTGTATCCGAATCTGTCCGAGTAGAGGAAGCCGTCGAAGCCCCACTGGTCCTTGAGCAGGTCGGTCAGCAGAGCATGGGAGCCGTGGACGTACTCCCCGTTGACCATGCCCTTGGTCACCAGCATCACCTGCACACCAGCCTGAATCGCTGCCTTGTACGGCAAACCTGACACACACACACACACACATCCGTCGAACAGTGCGGTGCGGTGGGTGTGTGTGGCTGCAGTCGCACCCTGGTGTGCAATCAGCTCTTCTTGCTCCAGCACTGTGTCGCCCCCATCTATGCCGAACTCGGTCGCGCCGTCACCAATGAAATGCTTGGCCGATGCCACCACCTTGCCAGGGCCCAGGAACTGCAAAGGGCCATCTGTCTCCCCAGGCTCCCCCTTAACACAAAAAGACACGTTGGTGATATCCACATAGTGTGTGGGAAGCTGTGCATCTATCGATCTACCTGCAGGCCTTTAATGAGGTAGTGTGCAAGTTCTGCAGTGGTCTGCGGGTCTTGGCTGAAGCCCTCGTACACCCGGCCCCACCGGTTGTTCCGCGGCACCGTCACAGACACCGAAACCGTCGCATCCAAACCAGTCGCTGACACCTCACGAGCCGTCACGTTGCCTGCTCACAGAAAGGGAGACGGGAACAAGGTGACCGATGTATGTGTGCACCACTAGTCAACCACTCACCGATTCTCTCCATGAGTCCTAGGTCATTTGCGCATCCCAGGCCGATGTTGTGAGGCATGATGGTGCCCCAGGCACTCGCACTGAACCCGTGGGACGCCTCCACAAACCACAACGCCGGAATGCCCTTGAAGCTCACAGACGTATCTGACGTGCAACACACAATGCGCAGATGCCGTTGGATGCACGGATGGATGAGGGCAGGCCGACTCACTTGTGTCCCAGAATCGTCCCTGCAGCGCCTCAGCTCTGTCGACCCAGTCACGTGGGTCGTTGCTCTTGACGCGGTTCTTGAGCAGCCCAATGTTGAAGTCGCGCAGCATCTCAAATGTCAGGTAGTTCTCGCCCACGCTGCCCGGCGGTCCCTGTGCACCGGGGCCGTGGTGCAGCATGATCATCTGACCGATCTTCTCCTCCAATGTCATGCCCTCGATCAGTGTCTGGATCTCCCCCTCCATCTCGGCGTCCGCCGCGAAGGGGCTCAAGCCGCCGTCGAGGTTCTGGAAAACCCCCCTGTCGGCGCCGATGGCCATCGCCGCGGCGTTGTCGTCCCCTTCTTGCACCTCAGCCTCAGGCTGCGCATTGTTGTTCTCGGCAACGATACTGTTCTCGGCCTGGATTCTGTTCTCGGTCACAACGCTGTTCTCCGCAACCACGCGGTTCTGGGCCTTGACCGGCTTGCCCTGGGTCCTTCTCACGATCGTCTCGTTCTTGCCGTCATGGATGGTCTTGGCAGTGCCGGGCTCGTATCCGTATGAGACGTTCTGCGGTCCGTCGATGGTGACGTGTCGGGTGCATGTCTCGGCTTCGTGTGGCACGAGGTCCCAGATGCAGAACTGGAGCTTGGTGGGGGCCATGGACGGCTGCTCTGAGAGACACAACAGAGGGGCACACAAACGCACATTCATGCGAGTGCTGAAGGAGTGCTCTGGGCTCCACTGACCGAGTATTTCGAATCTGAAGTGCCACAGTCCGTGGAAGTAGTCGAGTGGCGACATGAAGTTGTCGGGCCAGGTCTTCGGCAGCGTCACATGGCCTCGCGTGGCGTTGCTGCCATACTGCTCAAGCTCCACGAACTCAAAGAACGAACCTGACACATCCATCAATCCATCGAGCGATCGACACACGCAGATCGACGTCGTCAATAAGCACCCACATGATTCTACTCACCGCTGGATTCATATTCTTCCGTCATGGTGACGGTGTCGTCCATGATGAGAATCGTCTGGTTGTCTGGCAGCACTCCGTCCTCGGCGAACTCCTGGATGTCCAGCCCCCGATGGTTGTGGCCCAGAGGGGTGGCCAGCACGGTCAGCCTGACCGTCATGGGGTAGTACTCGCCCCGCCGCTCCCAGCACCTGCTCATCGGCCACGACTCCTTGCTGTTGGTCAAATGGCAACCTGAACAGTGAGTGAGTGGACAGAGCAGAGGGAAAGGGTCGCAGGCGCGGTGAGTGAGTGAGTTCGTCGGCTGGCTGACCGGTGGCAGCCCCCTCTGCCTCGTTCCCCGCCTTGAATGGCACACCAATCTTGTCCCATCCACGAGGGTTGCTAAAATCGACCTGTGTGGGTGATTGTGAGAGTGACACGCCAACACACACAAGCACTCCAGCACTTCTTGTACGCGCGTACGCATCCGCCTCGTGCTGTCCCACTCACCGTCACATTAGTGTCTAGCTGCCACCAGTTGGCGGGGCTCGTCTGCATCACCCCCACTCCTCGAGAACGTTCAGGCAGAGCGCCGCCAGCAAAGACGCCCAGCAGCAGCAGCAGCACGGCCGCCACCCACCGCCCCTCCATTGCGATACGCAAACCTCACAAAGGGCAGCCTCTTGCAGGAGAGCAAGATCCAGTGACCGCCCTGCAGTACTTGTAGGGAGTGCGCCGGTCCGGAGCGGACCGCAGCGCCAAAACTACAGACACAAACACTTCACCCTGTGTATGACGACGACACAGCACGCTGACAGAACATCAAACAGAACCTGCCGCATCGCCGCGCAATTCGGCGGTTGGGCGCCAAACGGCTGGCGATCGCGTCGGTCGCTTTTCCTTTCCGCGTTTCGGAGCAGAGTAGACGGTCAGCGCCAAGGAGCCGAGAGTACACAACTTGCACAGATCTCACGCCACGCCCACTGTTGTGCTTCCTATCAGGGTGTTTCCGATTTGATCAGAATGGCCGGTGGGGCGTGCAGCTCGGGGGTCGTGGGCTGCGTCCGCCGATAGTTCAAGTGTGACCTAAGCGCCTGCTGTTGGAGTAGCCCAAGAACGAGTCATGGATTTCAACCAAGTGAGTGAGGCAGTGGTTATCGTTGCTGGCAATGGCAGGGTGAGGGCTGTCCTCGTGTTCCTTTCCGCGCGTGCGCCGTCTGCAGGCTAAGAGGGACGCGGCGTCTGCTAAGGACGAGATCCTGCGGCTCAAAAACCAGCTGCTGCCACAGGTGCTCTGCACCCGCCGTCAACACAGAACACGGAATACTTTCCTGTGTGTGTGCGCGGGTATGTTTCTGCATTAATTGCAGCTGGTGGCGCAGTTGGATCGTGTAGAGCAGCTTGACGCACTCACCCTCGCCACACAGGTACGTACGTACAGTAGTTGGATGGGTGGGCGGGCGGCTGGGTGTGGCGGTCTCGTGTCAGTGTATTTGCTGTCTTCCTGTGCTGTGTGCATGTGTGTCAGGCCTTGTCCGACGGAGCCCTGCACCTTCGGCAGCAGCTGACCCTCGTCCCAGCACTCATCGCTCGAGCCACCACCGACGTCACAGCCTCACACACCGCCCTCACGGATGCCCTCGATGCCCTCCAGCCGCCCATATCGTCACCGCATGCTGCCGAGTCATCCGATGGCATGAGTGTGGAGCTTTCTGCTGACGAACGAGATGATTCGAATGATTCGTCAGCCGAGGTACAAGCAAGCGTCAGCGTGCTTGCACACTTAAGTCCGAGGAGCCGTGTTGACGGCTTCTCTGTCCTTGTCTGTTTGTGTGCAGGATGGCGACGACGTGGGTCGTCCTTCGTTTCGTATCACACATCGAAGTGGGCAGGGGCCACCCATCGAACACTCGCCGGTGAGTGAGGCACACGACATTCCAATGTCAGCATCTGACATTCTTGAACTCTTCAGGCGCGGCATCGTGTGTCTCGCGAGTGCCTGGCCGCCGTGATCGGCCACTACCAGCCGTGGCAGCTCACCCAGCTGCGGCCCGCCATCGGCACATCCATCTTCCACCAGTCGGCCGCCCAGCACAGACGCGTCACCATCAGCTGCACAGACGAGAGGGAGCGACATCTGTGGGGCAAGATTCCCCTCGCCACCGCACACAAGTGGGGACAGCGCATGACCAATCTTCGCGAGTTGGTGGTCATCTATCCCGAGTCTGCGCCCGAGTGGTGTCGTGGCGCGTGGGTCGGACTGCTAAAGGGCCACGCCGAGGGCAGGCGGGCGCTGGCGGACAGGAGGGCCAGGCAGGGCCAGGGGGGCGAGGATGAGGGCACACTCGAGGTGCTGGGCTTCGAAGGCGTGGAGCTGGATAGACCTCTCTTCTTCCCATTGGATGAGGTCTCGCCAGACCCCCTGCCTCGTCCATCCCCATCCCCACCGGCGGTCGCCCTCCCAGCCCTCATGACGGTCACCATTCTGCCGCCAGAGTACGCCGACGTCCGTGTCGGTCGGGGGTGGGAGACGCCGAATGTCGTGCGGGTGACATTCGATAGGGACTTCTTCCCGACCGAACAAGCCGCCAAGGAATGGTGTGAGAGCGAGAAGCTCGAGAAGGTGGACCTGGCTGACCGCCCGTCGGCCCTGCTACAGGCCCTGCCGCAGTCACTCGGACGGCTGCGGTCGATTAGCGGCGTGTACATGACGATGGATCACAACGCCACGCCGGTGGGAGACGCGGAGGTTGACGCCCTGCGCGAGGGCCTGGTGCAAAGGGGGTGCAGGCGACAGCTGACCAGCATGCCGATCAGGATGCCCAAAATGCCGGCTACCGGTGAGGCGAAGGACCTGACTGTCAAGACGGCCCGTCTCATGTGAGCACAAAAGACATGTGAAGGCCAGGGACGGAGAGGAGGGTCGCTCTTATTGTATTGTTCCCTTGTTTGCTTGTCGGTCACAGGGATGCCGTGCTTGACCCAGAGGCCCTCATTGAGTCTCCCGTGCACTACACAAGGGTTGTGGACGGAGCGACCTTCGATCCGCATCTGCTGCAGTGGAGCAACGAGCATCCATCCCCTACCGTCAGGAAGATAGTCAAGGACCTCGCCGAGAAAGCCGTCATCGTGGTGGTCAGCTTGGCCACCGTGGCGGACGACCAGACCATCGACATTCCCGACGGCACCTTGCCCTACGCGACCAAGATCGAGCTGGAGGCCGACAGCATCTTGCCACTCGAGCATCGCACTAAGGCCCTTCAGGTGGCCGAGAAGATGAGCCGCCTTGCTGAGGTCACGGTGGGCTCCGATGGGGCCGTACCGCCACTCGTGGCCTTTGATTTTCTGCGTGGGATATGGCATCAGACGTGGCGTCAGCGCGGGGAACAGAGAGAATTGGATGTTCATGTCAGGACGTCCAGTGAGGACTTCGTCGACCGTGGCGCGTTTGGCCGGCTGTGGGGCAACATGTGGCCGATAATGCCGAGGATGTCGCACACAACCGTTGAAATTGATGGCGAGAGGCAGGCCATACCCCTTACATGTGTACACAATTTGTGTGTGCCCTGGGTGCAGTTGGATTGCCAGATGAGCTCACTCTCGGCCAGTTCCATGGTCGGATGATGCAGATGGCCTTATCCCTGACGAGGGTGCCTGGCCATGACACGACCACTTTCGTCATTAACGATGGAGACCTCAGCGCCGACCTGCAGGATCTCTTCCATGAGCAGCACGCGCTCGTGGGCTTTACCAACGGCCCATTCGCTGTAACCTTCGAGGGCCCCAGCCTGACCATTAAGAGACGATCGAACGCATAGCAGGCAGGCAGCCTACGGCGCAGAAAGTTGGGTGATTGTTGTGTGTTTGACTATGCGCTTGGGTGGTGTGCAGGGTGTGGACAGAGGCAGCCAGCGAGGTTGGATGTGGCGGGCGGATCGATAGTCTACGAGATGTGCATAGAGCCTTCCTTAGATTCACGAACAAACATACGTCACGATGGGTGGTGACTCGTGTGTGGTTCCAGTGGCTTAGTGTGGAAGTACATTTTCGTTCATTCAGCCTGTCTGCGTGCCTGCCTGTCTGTCTGTCTGTCTGTCTCTGCATTGGTTGGCTGGGGTGAGCGTTGGGACGCCTTGCCGACATGAAGGACGCAATCACGATAGATAAAGAATCGATAGAGTCACCATGAGAGAGCGTGCACTGCGCAGAAGAGGGCATGAAGACCAACCACCAGCAGTAAAGGGGCGGACGGGTCAATGTTCCTCACACAGACAGAACACACTCGTCAGTCGCGCTCAGCAGCAACAATCAGACCTCCTTCCGCCTCGCCCGTCCTCCGCCACCAGTTGAGTCGATAGCCGTCAACTACGCCGTCGGTGCACTGCCGCTCGGTCAGAACCTCCTCTACTGCCGCTCGGTCCTCACTGCTCATGTCCGACAGACCCACACGCAGCCTCTTGACGCCTCGGAGCTGGAGGGATGACTCGATGGATGTATACACATACTCACCGATCTCATCAGTGTCGTTTGGCACTGTTCGTACAGAGAAAGAAAGAAACAAAGAGAGACGACAATGGACGCGCCTGGCCTGTCTGTGCAGTCAACTGCAGAGCTGCTCACGTTTTGCGTTGTCGATGACGAGGTTCTCGATGAGTGGCATGTCGCCAGCCCGCTCCCCCCAGCTGAGCCCCTCGGCACTAGAGGCAAAGATGGCCTCCACCCGCACTTCGGCCAGCTGTTTCTCCGCCCCCATCGATTGCAGCATCTCGCACACCTCTCCCTCATCGACAAACATGCCGTCAGCATCCCCCACCGAAACGCTCCTCACTGGCATTTTGCTGCCCAAGACACCACCAACGCGGCAGCCGAGACGAGAGTCAACCGTCAGCTGCCTCGCCTGAGGAAACGCGTCGGGCTTCAGGTGCTGAAGAATCGCTGGCGGATCGATCGGCTCGGCATCGACAGCCAGCTCGTCTGTGCCGCCAACCCTCACTCGGACAGATGTGGCCTTGGCCACCAATGGCAAGTCGGCCGCAAGCGCCTTGGCGGCCTCGCTGGGGGAGCTGAAATCGTCGCCGATATTGTCCTCAGTGATGACCCAGTCGACCTCCGTCGCACGGCTGGCGAGTTGCGTGAGGGTCGACTTGACGAAGGGCGACAGGGGCCCGGCAGAGAGCAGGGGGCAGTAGAAGAAGGTGAGGTCGACACTCGTCACGGACGACGGAAGGGTGACAGTGACGGCGTCCGGTGACACGCAGCAGGTGGTAATGAGGGTGTCAAGGCTGTGGATGATAGATAAGGTGGTCGAGTCGACGACAAGACCCTCTTTGAGTCTCACATCCAAGTGCGCGAGGGACAACAAGCAGCCCCGCGACAAGAGGGATGCCTGGAAGGCACAACATTTGAGGCACAACAATATAGTGTTACTTTCTGTGCTCACCTTAAGTTCGTCGAGGTATTGTCCGTCATGATGGCTGTGACCGACCATGATCCCTCGGATGCTCTCCAGGCGTCTGAGTGGCCCTGGCTGCCCTGCAGCTGCCGTAGGCAAGTCGCGGAAAACTTCCGACCACCCAAGAGCTGATAGCCACACTGTGACGCACCGCAGAGAGCGGGACGAGCTGATGAACCCGGCCAGCGCAAGGCCGCTCCATGAGTGGCCGTCCTGAAACTCTACGTGCTCCAACGAAGGCATGTCCCACACAGGATGCCAAAGCTCGAAGTGGTAGTCGGCGAGGCCGCTGACAGCTGTGAGGCTGGGGAGGCTGATGCTTGGGCGGGTGTAAATAGCGGGAGCTGTTCGCGTGACGGTCCGCATATCCCTCTGTGTCAACTGGATCGCGTCGATGGTGACGGTCTGCAGGGCGCCCCCCTGCAAGTTGGCTGCTTGTCGGCCCTCAACGTGGCCCTCGACAAAGGCGAGGAATACGTCAAAGCACCAGCGGCAGACATCGACGGGCTGACGCAGGACGATCGACGTGAGCTGAGTGAGGCATCTGGCCCACTGGCTGACGAGATCTATCGGCACACGCTGCCAAAACGACCTCTCCGCTTTGTCCGCCGCACTGATTGTGAGATGCGTGTGGGAGGGGGCCACATGCTCCCACGTATGAGAGATGTGCACCAGCAAACGGAGGGGAAGGAAGGCCATAATGCAGCCGAGAAGGCCGGGCTGGAAACACAGACAAACGCAGAAACCATATCTTTGACCCAGCGGCTTTTCTGCGTTCTCCGACTGCATTACCGTGTCCGTGATTTGTGTGATGAGGCATCTTTCTCTTTCCGCCCGAAGCTGTGCCGCCTCACTGCTGCTGCTGGCTGACCCAGATGTCTGGTAAAAGCAAAAGCGACGAGCTCGTGCAGAACAGGACCGCACCCAGCACGAGAGATTCAGTTGCAATCACCTGAAGTCCATCCTCGGCATCAGTCGACATCGTGAGCAGCGAATGGCCTGGCCGTTGCTTCTCCTTCGCTTCCTTCGGCCAATTTGCCTTCGGCGAGCAACAACCAAGCAACAACGAAATCAGATTGATGGAAATGATGGATGAATGAACGGACTTCACTCCTTACGTAGTCGTCAGAGTCGGCGAGAGGGCCTCCCTGCGCATTTTTCGATGGATCGCGAGCTTGAATCCCGAAACCCTGAAACCTGAACCCAGGCGCTGAGGAGAAACTGCAGTTCAGAATCTCACGAGAACCTATGCAGGTGAGACCAGCACTCACTCGCGAGTTGAGCGCCTCCCATTCAAATGACGTATTGATGCCATGTGTGCAGGATGAGTAGCACGACCACTGGTGGCACATCTTTTCGTTTGATTCATCAGTCGGGACGAGGGCCAATCAATGAGGGACAGGCAAGCCCGGAAGGAAGTCCACGTACGCGTGTTCTTGTGTCCATTTCCTTGCTGTTGCAGGCTGGGAGGCGTCTGCCGCGTGAAGACCTCATTCTCATTTCGGGATTCGGCGTCTGGCCGCTCTTCAGCAACAGCATCTCCATGGAGGCCGGGGCTCAGTGCCGCCAGCTGGACATCGACTGCTCCCGGGCCGCCGACAGGGCCTTCTGGCAGGCGATGCCCGTCAACGTGGCCAAGAGGTGGGGCGGCCGCATGCCCAAACTCACCCGCACCTGGTGCTGTCACCCGGCTGGCGAGGGCGCCTGGTGTCTGGACGTCATCACGGCACTCATCGAAGGCCACACGGAGGCCCGCAGGGCGATGGTCGCGGAGAAGAGAAGAGAGGCGGAGAGGCGGGGAGAGGAGGCCGACATCGCTGACGGCTCACTCACGGCAATCACATTTGAGGCGGCTGAGCTCAGCCAGGAGGAGATGCTGTCTGTCGGACGCATCAATCCCATCCTCCCCCCTGTGCATGCCCCTCCCCCGTCCCTCCCCGCCCTCACATCCATCAGCGGCCTCACTGCCCACCATCGTGGCATCGGCAGCCGCGGCTGGCGCGTCCCGTCGCTGCAGCGTGTGCAGGCGCACGAGCACGTCGACACACTGGGACCGCTCGTCAGCTCGTCGCGGTGTTTAAGAGCATTCGATGTGTCCTCGACGGTTGACCAGAAGGCTGAGGTGTTGGAGCAGGTGCCTGTCGCAGCTGAGAGGCATCAGGGGCCGCTGGCGAACTTGGAGGGTATCGGGCCGATTGAGACCCGCGGCGTCTTGTTCAATTTGCAGGAGCTGGATGGCTGGGCGTCTGAACTGCAGGTCAGCAGACGGACAACACGTGTTAAATGCTACTTGCGTTTCCATCCGCTTTCTTGCTTCCTCTCTGTATTCGCTGCAGTTGATTCTCGTGGCACGAGGCTGCTGTCGGTCCCTCAGGTCGCTGAAGGTCAAACTCGTCGACGAGGCGATGGTGAGCCACCCGGTTTTCCTTTTCGCCGAGGACCTCCAGGAATTCGCGAATGCCGTGTGCGTCGACAACGTCCCTCTCACGTTGACTGGGGGCGTCGGCATATTCGATCTGGTGCTGCTACAAAGCGCCCTCTTCCCTCCCGCCAGCTCCCCCATCCTCAAGACCGTCCTGCGGCAGCTGGCCCAGCAGGCGGCTCAGGTGTCCGTAGGCCTCAATTCCACCCTCTCCACCCCTCTCGACACGCCCACACCTGCTATGCTCGACTTGGCCAGAGGCCTTGCATTCGACAAGGCCACAAGGGTGTTGGTTGCCAATATCGACTCGCTTCTCCAAGCCCCTGCAGCCCCTCCCGCCCCCGCTCCTGGCCTCGCTGCCGTCGCCATCATCGAGGAGATGCAGCCGATACCTCAGGCGTCAGCTCTGGTGATCAGCGAGCGCATGACGGCGGCAGTCGGCATCGAGCTGGCAAGCAAGATGCCCAACTTGCAGCAGCTGTTAGTCAACAGTATTCCCAAGGGGGAGGCGGTGAGAATTGCGGATGCCATAGGGTGCGACTCAAGGAGTGGGGAGCTGAGCCTGGTGCACCTGGGTGAGCTGGAGGGGGTGGGTAGTGGCGGCATCGAGTAAGAGGAGCACGGAAATGGATGGGTCGCCATCCAGTACCTCATTGTCGACCTCACAGGTTCGTCCGTCTTGTGCCAGAGACGGCCCATCAGTGAGTAAGTGAACGTCTCTGTGTGTGTGCGTGTGTTGATCTCTGTGTCAGTCCCTGCCGGGGTCACTGACGTTGTGGAGTTCGCGTGTCGCAGCTTGAGATCGCTAATGCAGCTCTCGTGCGAGATGGTGGTGCTCAACCTGCTGGGCCTTGACGCCGCCACACGCGACCTGCTCGAGTCTGCCGTACCTGATCATGAACAGCTCGCGTACGTATGCGGCACGATCATCGTGCTGCAGCATGATGACAACAAGCTCTCCATCGCCCACCGACGAAGCTGACGATAGACATCTGTGTGTATGTGTGTGAGTGTATCTGAGTTGCATGAGACGAATGGATGGACAACGAACGGCACGAATGGATGGACAACGAATGGCCCCACCATTGATTGTACATATGCTTTCGTGGCGTTTTTGTCTGTCCATTGAGAGAGCTAGCCGGCCTGCCAAAGGTAAAGTCTCTTTGTGGCCGCCTCAGGATGGAAAGCACAAGTCAGTCCCACATCAATGGGTCATGAAAACACCCCACGCACGCAGCAGCCGGACCTCGCCACGCACAGAACCTGCTGACCGACGAACTTGATGTCCGCCCTTTTGCAAGCGGAGGACCCACGTGTGCGTGAGAGACCAGAGACATCCGATGTTACATAGCCTACCTGTGGCCATCTGTGTGGCTGTCTTGGGGTTTGTTTTGATTCGTTTCGGTCTGTCCCTGTCGACTCTCTTTGTCTGTGCATGGTGCATACCGATGGACAGGGAGTGAGAGAGTGTGGCGTTGCCATTAGCTGGACAGACACACACAGACAGAGATCAACACGACAGATGCAGCAGGTGCATTGAGTCGATCACATCAGTGAGTCAGTCTCTTTGGCCCTCAGAAGCGATGCAATGGACATATGGAATAAGCTGTGCAGACAGACAGCCCGTGCGCCATATACACACACAATCCACAGAGCCCTCCTGTACATGGGGAGAAAAGAGGAATCTCATGACAGACACCTCACACACAGACACATCCTCCCCCTCCCTTTGTCACTGACCTACCGCCCTCATGTCCCGCCCACGTGCAGCACCTCTATCTCATCCGCACAAAACTGATACGACCCGCCCAGCAGTGCACTGCACTGTGCGGGGTCCGTACATCTCACCCCCACATAGCCCGCGGGCACCTGGTGGCTGTAGGTGTACTGAAAGCAGCTGCGGATGTCGGCAGCCGGCCGGCCACTGACACCCAGCCACATATTGTCACCGATCCCCACATTCCCACCCAACCCACTCTTCTCCCTCCCCGCCACCCACACATACTGCCCCGACTCGATCTTGGTCGGCTGGGGGAAGTGCCCGGCCAGCGAGAAATGCCACACGTCACAGTCGTAGTCACAGTCGTACTCGTGCCAGTCGGTCGGGTCGTCGGGCAGCTTCAGACCGGCACTGATGAAGGCGCCGAAGACGTAGTTGTCCTTGCGAATGACAAACGCCAGGCGCTGCTTGTCGCCGACACACCGCAGTAGATCGGCGTAGGTCGTGCCGTCACGCGATGCCCTGATGCACACACACACACACAGAGACAAAAAAAAAGAGAAAAACTTGTCACATGGATGGATAGTGTGAGCGAGTGTGTGTGTGTGCGTGTCGGCTGCATACGAACCGGTAGACGGACTGCAGCTTCATGGTATGGTCCCCCAGCAGCCCCAGCAGGCCGTAGTACTCCTGCCGTGTCAGCGAAGTGCCCTGCGGCACATCAACCTGCCAACAACACACAGCGGCACACACATGCGACCATGGCTGCCGAAGTCACATTGTCTGTCGGATTGTTTGCACCGTCTGCATGTGAATCGCCAGCAGCGCCGCCATGGCCTCTCTCATGCCGTGGTTGGGACGGACGTCGATCTCCGCAGTCGCCGCCCTGATCGACCGATGGACACACAAAGGAGGGAGAAGCCATGAGGCCATTCACTCACCCATGTGTGTCGCGTTGATACGTATGCGTACCTGCAGATGGCGCACTTGGCAGCACGACGGCCATGTGGGTGTGTGCGGATGAGCCCTCTGACGCACTGCAGACACACACATGGCATGCCATTGTCACCAACACTCGTTTAAGTTCCCACTCACTCACCGCCGCACAGCAGGAATGGCCTGAGCAAACAGAAACCACCAAACACACCAGACAGAGCCACACTGATCCACGTGTTGGCCTTGTGTGCGGTGTGTGTGCATTGCTCACCGCATCTGAGGACGTGGGGTGCCTTGTCGCCGTCCGATTGGTATTCATCCTTACACACACTGCACTTGGGCACACTAACACCACCACCACCACCACCACCAGCAGAGCTGGAGGCCGCCATTGCGATGAGGCAACCAAGCTGCACGAACCAAACACACGGTGGGTGGATGGATGGATGAGTCCATTGAATCATCTCACCTGTATGCTGCTATCGCCTCCCTCAGTCAGCTACGCCCATCCGCCGGATGATGAATCCTGCGCTGAGATCTGCAGTCATTGCAGAGCCAGTGTGGCCCACTGCAGCCCTCACCTGGCCTGATGCAGCGCAGCCCTCACCTGGCTCAGCGGCCCGCCATCCTCACAGGGCGGCGGTGTTACGGATGACTCCGCTGATTCACTTTGCCGTTCCCTCGGCCGAATGCGCCACACTCACAACGCACCAATTGCAACGCACAGCTGTGAAAAAGGCACGCAACGCCACAGCTCGTAGGGTTCAGGGTTTGAAACCCTACCCTTGAATCCCTCGCCCCTCTCCTTCTTGCATCTGGCATGGCGGCTGCAGCGTCGTCCTCGTCCGCTGCTGCTGCTGCCCATGTAGCCCACTTGCCTCAGCCACAGGTGAAGGATGCACACACAGAGATTCACGGTGCCTCTCTGCTGTCATGTTGGTTCCATCCATCCATCAGGCAATGTCCTCGTCGGGCCACGGCCGCCCCACCAGCCCTCAAGAACCGCTACCCTTCTTGATCAGCCAAGTGGCCCGCTCGGAGGCCAACGGACGCGCACTCCTCGCACAGATCGCCAGCAGATCCCTCACCCAGCAACAGCGGCGGCTGCACCATAACAAGGAGACCATCGAGAGCACTCTGCTGCAGCGCGTCAAGGAAAAAATAGACGCCCAGCTGGCCGCCAAGGGCATCAAAGACATCATCACGCTCTCCCCTGACCTGACTTCCATCGGTCGTCTGCTGCGGCTGGTGTACTTCATCGACAACAGCGGCGAGTGGGCGGGGTGGGAGCCCATAGTGAGGGTGGCCAAGCACCAGGAGCGGGTGGAGCGGTTGCCGATAGAGCTGACCGGTGCTGATGTGGAGGGGGTGGGCAGGCGGGCGGTGTTCGACGGGCGGTGTGAGGCGCTGCGGCAGCTCTCACTCATCCAGCGCCACATCAACATCGCTCTGGAGCGCGACGATGATGGCGAGGAGCGGCTCGGTGGGAGTCCCCTCACCATCCGCACACTGCAGACGCTGCCGGCCGGCCACCCCTTCCACAATGGACTCGACCCCGCCAACCCCGTGTGTGAGGATGACGGAGGTGGGGAGGGGGGCAGAGAGCTATGGGCAATGGACCACGTGTGTGCGTGTGTGTATGTGTGTTTGCAGGTAATGACTATGCTTCAGTTCGCGACGCTGTGTTGTGTCGGTGAGGAAGATGAGGAGAATGATGCACAAACACACAGTGGCTGCACCGTCCTGCCATCATGTGTCTGATCAGGATGTGTTCTGGAGGATCGGAGGTCGCGGACCATCTTGTCTACCCGCACAACGATGCCAACGCACGCTACCACCGTCTGGTCACTCACACCCACACCCACACGAGTTTCTCACCAGCAGCCCCCCCACTCATTGTCATATCTCTCGTTCTCTTCAGCGTCAGCTCTTGACTCAGCAGCCGCCCGTCTGGAACCGCCACACCATCAGCACCTTCCGCCAATTTGCCCTCCGCGGGCTAGGAGGAGTCTTTTTCCGCGTGATAGTGCTGCACGGCGACCAGCCCAACCACACATTTACGGCACACATCTTCATCTACAGCAGCTCCATCAGTGCCCACGCCTTCCTCTTCACGACGGAGCGTCCCGTCATGGGGGTCGGAGCCGCCAGGTTCACCCAGACAGTGAGAGTGGTGCGGAAGGTGATGGGAGCCGACGCACAAGTGGCGTTCGGCAACCGGCTGGACGTAGCCGTAGACTGAGTCGTTCAACTCTCGTGTGTTGAGCGAGTGACCGTGCGTGTCAGTGTGGCCACATCAGTGCAGATGGGGGCATGCCGACAGAGGGCTGGACAGATGTGCCGTGCGTTTTCAACTTTTGATGTGGTGATGGTGGCGGCCACAGACCCATCGGCTGTGTGTGTGCATGTGTGTCGCTTTGTCCATCACTGAGATTGAGATGGCATGGAAGTCCGCTATATGCAACCCTCATAGACGTCGACTTTTGCATATACATATATTCGGGTTGAAGCAAACTTGAGTGAACTGTCTTCGTAGCTCAACGTGTTCACTGGTCTGAAAGTCGGTGTGTTGCGCAACGAACAGCGCCCTTCATGTTGCCCAATGCAGCACGAGAACGCCTTACTGCACGACATCACACATGATCGACAAGCCTCCCTCCTCCCTCCCTCCCCCGTGTGCGCGTGCCGTGTGGATGAGCGTCATCCATCGGAAAATCGGGAAACCACGCCGCCCATGACAAATCGACCTCACTCGCATGAATGCACATATACGGAAGGAAGGGCAGCAAGAGTAGCGAGTCAGTCCACACGTTTGTTGCGGCAAAATCGTGTGCGCAAATGTACACGCATCCGCGAAAATCGACATGCAATGCATCACACAACCTCCCTCCGTTCAACCGCCCTTCCGTCTCTGTCTAGTAGTAGCCACCATCAGCCTTGCCCTGTGCGTCGAGGAGGCCCTTCCAGTACTTCCTCTCGAAGTTGGCCTTTGCCATGACGTCCACCTGCACCTGGATCATCTTGCCCTGCTGCCGCACCGGGAAGGTGTTGAGGGGCCGCTGGGGGCTGAGCTTGCCCGTGAGGAAGCCGATGACGGGCGGGAAGGGGCACCACTCGCCGACCACTTCACCGGTGGACAGGTCGAAGGCGGTCCGATAGTTGGGGCAGATGACCTTGCCGTCCTTCACCTCGCCCTGATCAGGTCACACGATGAACGCATATGCATATGCATAGAAACCGATTTGCATACGAAGGACACATCGGTGTACGCGACATATATTGGTGCCCACCGACCTCTTCGAGGGGCGTGCCCAGGGGGGGTGATGCGTTGCCCACACAATAAATGGTGCCATCCTTCGCCTCAGCCACCAGTAGCAGCTTCAGGCCATTCACCTACACACAGCACACCAACGGTGCGGTGCGTGCCGTGCCTGTCACTGCATGTGTGTGTATGTGAACAGCTGACGCGCAGCGCACCTCGATCGGCATGAGGTCGCCGGGGGCTATCTCGTCCACTTCAAGGACAGATTTCCACTCCTGCTTCTGTTCAGACGCACACACACATGAGCACACACACACACGTGCATTCAGAATGCAAGCCAGTGTGACGTGACACGAATGACCGATCTCGTTTCTCGTACCACAGCAGGTTGGGCGCCAACGATGGCATCCATGCGGGACAACCTGTCGGATGAGCGGCGCCGCTGACAGAGACACATGCATCTAGGTCTTCCTTGTCTCTCTCGCGCCGTCTCTGTCCCTCCCTCTCCCACCCTCCGCTCACCCTCTTGGTGTAGAGGTTCGACGCATCCCCGCTCGAAGGACTCCTTGGCGACGGAATGACGAACCCAGTCACCACTGCACACACGCACGCGCACACCCGCAGCCACAGCCCGCATTTCAGCAGGCATCCTTCATGTCACTGTGAGTGGTGCACACCTGCAGCAGAGAGGACGGTCAACACAATGGGCTTCATCGTCGCAGGGTGGATCTTGGCAAGGAGTGCTCTCAGCGGGGAAATGGAAAGGGAGATCTGCGGCCGCGGATCTTTCGCAATCCCCTGCATAGCTCGCATACTCTCTCGCCTCGCTGCACCCCGAATACGTCTCGGCGACCGCCATGACGACGTTCCCTGCCCAGCTGACCATCAAGACAGAGAGATCTGCACACCCGCACATCGCCATCTCCCGGCGGCCACAGGAGGACCCCTCCTCCGTCATGACGACGCCCACCAACACCAGCAGCATCCCGTCGGCAGACCCCTGCAGCCTCGCCTACAGCGGGGCGCTCACTCCTCTCCCGCCGCACCTCTTCCCCGCTACCTTCCCGCCGCCACTCGCAACAACGCCGGTGGTCAAGACGGAGCCTGGTAAGGTGTCGTCCTCATGGCCCATATCGTTCTCGCATGCGCCAACGGATCCCACACCCACTGCCAGCCGAAGCCAGCCCAAGAGGAAGCGGACGGCTTCGGAAGAGGAGGAGAGAATGAGCCAGCAGGTGGGTGTGCATGTGTGCTGTGCACCTGCTTGCCGCATCTATCGTGTGTCCTCTCAGAAGCTGCGCAATCGACTGAGTGCCCAGGCGCACCGGGACCGGCAGAAGCGTCTCATGCGTGACCTGCAGGAGCGGGTGGAGAGACTGTCGGCCGAGAATCAGCACCTGCATAGGTAGGTATACTCGAGAGAAAGGATGTGAAACAGGAGATGCACGGCTTCCCCCCGAATGTGTCCTTCGGTTTCATTGGCTGCAGGGAGAACTCTGAGCTGAAGCAGGACAACGCTCGGCTGATTCGAGATGTGGCGCAACTCACTACCCATAACCAGGAGCTGTCCCTGCAGCTGGCGAGCCACGGCCTCTCGCAGCAGCCCGTCCACTACACTCCCGCCCCAGTGGCGGCGGCTCTCGAGCCGCCCTCTCCCACCAGCACCACCGAGAGTACCGTCGAGTCCTCCCATGGCTCGCAGGGTGGGGCCAACCCGGACCCCTCGCCCCTCTGCTACCCCTGCCAGGACCACCACCCCACCCCTCTCCCTCCCCCTCCCTCATTCCTCTCGATGGACCTGCCGCAGCCCCTCACAGAGACCGACGAGCAGACCATAGCCGATACCTTCCTGGTCAACCCGTCTTCCTTCAATCGGTTCTTCTCGTTGGTGTTTGTGGTGCTGCTGGGTGTGGCCTTCTTCGGGGGCGGCATGTGGGCTGGGGAGGGCGCCGGCCTGGAGAGGCAGGGGCGTGTGCTCATGGCGGTTCTCGAGAAGGAGGACAACACCACCATCCAGACCACCCCAACAACAGTGCAGCAGCAACACGGTCTCGTCGTCTACGTAAGCACAGGCGCTGGCCACAAGAAAAGGCACCCGAGGCGTACGTACGGAGAATGCCTTCTTGTCTGTATGGTATGGGCTGTCGATGTCAGAACTCGGTGCAGCATGCTGTCCAAGTTTGGGAGGCCAACTTGCCACCGCACAACGCCATGACCTACTCCACCAACACCACCACGACCAAGCCAGCAGCCGGGGCGGAGGGTACCAACGACACCGCGGCGACCGGCCATCCATTCGCCGGTCTGCACATGCTGGAGCAGCTGCTCCTGCGCAAGACTGAAGCGCAACAACGAGAAGAGGACAACGGCCATGTGGCTCAGCACCGTGCGATTGTGGCGAGTGCTGTGCAGCCGCCCGCGTGGAAGGCATACAAGTGAGCGGCTTCACTCACGAGCCGATTCGTGGCTGGAAGCCTGCCTGCCTGCCTGCCTCATTTGCTCGTTCTCATATTCGCTGTGCTGCTGTATGTGTGTGGTCAGGTTCGTGTGTGCCGAGCCCGAGTTGCGATTTGACTCGACGCGAGATCAGCGGGGTCGCTTACGCCGACTGATCATCCGGACCAACAGCACCAACACCACAGCAGCTGCTTCTGTGGCAACCGAGGAGGTCAATCACCAGGACACCGAGGCATCGTCGAACAGTGGCCGTGAGAGTGGTGGTGGTGGTGGCGGGAGTGTGCAGATGAGCTTCCCGACCCGACTGCTGGCTGAGAGGGGCCTGCTGGTGGACAGCCGATATGGCGAGTCGATGACTCTGTCTTGCTCTTACCTGATCGCTGCCTAGCCCGCGTGTTTGCTTGCATAGTGCAATGTCTATGTCTGCCTGTCTGCATGGCTGGGTGCTCGTGTGGGTCCACAATTAAATATGCTGCTGGGAGGGGAGAGATGGACGGAGACTGGTCGCTCTCTGCGCGTATGTCTGTCTGTCCGTGTGCATGAGGGCGAGTCTGGCTGCTGTGTGTCCATGTGTGGATAATTCACTCTGGGTGGGTGTGGTTTTGTTTTTCCCTGTGTGTTGTTGCTTTTGGCCTTTTGGCCTCGGTGTGGATGTCATGTGATATTTAAGTCCGTCCGTGTGTGAGCCAAGCCATCCTCTCTGACGTCCTCTCCTTCGTTTACTCTCTCTCTCTCTCCTTTCCTCTCTCCGAGCTGTCTGTCAATAATTCATTCACTCGTGTGGGCGAGGTGGCGGGGGGCGCATACCGCATACACACATACATACATTTTCTCTTGTGCCGGGATGCACCTCCCATCAGTTGGTTGGGTGTGCTCTTGCCGCAGACGGTCGTGTCACTCTCATGATGGCCCGAGTGCGTCGAGGTCTGTCGGTTGCATGAACACACGAGCAGCGGGGGAGGTCGGTCACCCGGTGTGTCCCATCTAGTTAGCCATGCCCTCTTGCGGTATGCCTACACGCCGTAGAGTACTGGCACACACACACACACAGAGGGTGGATGGGTCGATGCGGTGAGGAGGGGGGGAGCGCCCCTGTGTCGGGTTTTTCGTCCTGAGTCCTGTCTGTCTGTCTGTCTGTCTGTCTGTACGAATGACGTTGGTACCCTCATGTGTACACAGATGCATAGAGATGCAGCCAGCCATCGAGCCGTCCAGGCAGGCAGACAGGCAGGCAGGCAGGCAGTGTAGGGTTTTCTCCCATTCCATCCAAATGATATGAGTGAGGTTTTAGTCCGCCTTCTTCCCTTCTCTGGACCTAGGTAGACAGTATCCGGCCTCCGCTGCAGTGTGCACCACACAGTGCGCTCGGCGGTTTCCGTGCGTTCTCTGCTTAGGTTCAGAGGGGGAACAGACATGCTTCACGCCCCCCCTTGCGCCACCACCGCAATTCATCTGTAAATACATAGTCATCACGTGTTTGTGTGCTCCCTGCAAATGAAGTCACATCAGACGAAGGCCGGTCCATCCATCCATGCCATGGACAGGCACACGACCGCGCAGAGGGGGAATGGGCTGTCGGGTCAACAATTACTTACGTATCCATCGCGGTTTTGTCTTGCGCGCGAACGAACATGACGGTGGGTGGGTATTGTCTGTGTCTCTGTCGCGTGTATACATGTCGGTCGGTGTTGCTTTCATTATCTCTGTAGTGACCTGTGTCTCATCTATTCGATGGAAGTGAACGAGCGAGAGCGGACGTCCTGTCAGAGCTCTGCGCTGCGTGCATTGATTTGTTTGTGGGTGTCGTTCGTGTGTGTACTTGGATACGTTGGTTGGTACGTACGAACGATGGCGAGATCTCAGCCATCGGGACATGTGTCGTGTACGTGTGTATCTGCTGCAGCAATCAATGACATGTGTGTGAGCACTGCCTGCAGCGGACGTTACTCATCCACACTAGCTTCACTTCCGCTGCAGGAATAAGCCCATAAGGATACCAACCCAATCCTGAATGCACATTCGAACAGCTGGGGGAGGGGAGGGCAGGTGTATGGAGCACACCTATAGCATATGCCTCCACATACATACTGCAATGACCAGCAGCCCAGTACAGTCGTCCCTCGATATATCGGACCTCGATAAGCCGTATCGCGGATCGGATGGCCATCTCAAGGCCATCCGAAGACACGCCGCCCCCATACAAGGTACATACAAATCTCCCTCGATATATCGGATGGCCGTCTTTATCGGATCGGATCTGGCCGTCAGATGCGGACCGGATCGTCCGATATATCGAGGGACGACTGTATGTCGATGCTGACCGTGCTGTTGACCAGCCCCTTGGCCGCAGCCACACTCCATGAGAAGAGCACGTGAGGCCGGATCGTTGGAGAAGGGCAACATCAGGGCCGTTCCCCGCGGTGAGGCGCCCTCAATGGCTCTGCGACAAAACATTCCAAACGGCTGGTGTACCGTGTACGCGAGCTTGGCATTACGACAGCATTCCGAAAGAGATGAGGGTAGCCGGGATGCCAGTGCGGCCATCAGGCCGGCCTACCACCCCCACCGTGACTCCCACTTCCGCCTCATCCCAGGTGTCGACGGGCTGCTCATGCAGCGAGTGCGCTCTTCCCTCTCCCACGCACACCCACAGCTCCTCGCCATCCCCGGCATCTTCATGCGGCAGCAGCACTCTGGCGGAGCATGTGAGCGTGAGCAACCAGCTGGGGTCGTCGTTTTCGTACTCGTCTGACGAGGACCGACTGGCGATGTCCAGGCGGCCTTTCCGCTCCCACCACTGCCGCTCAAATGCCCACCCAAAGCGGTGGAGCCGGCCGGCAGCTGTCAATGTCCACCCTTCAAAGCGGCGCAGGTACCGTACGTATGGACACAGACGCGCATTCCAAGCCTGTACGTGCGAGGCGACATCACTGTCCCGTTTGTATGCCTCTGCGTTGCAGGAGCACCGTCAGCCCGCCCTCCCGCCCCCCCTCTTCCGCCTCGTCCCGCTCCCACCGGCGCAGCGCATCCCTGGAGGCCCGCCGGCCGCCCCCCACCATCCACCGGACCTACCGAGAAGACATCCCCATGGCCATGCGGGCCAAATGGCGGCCGCCCATGCACGAGGACTTCCTCGTCACAGGAAGCGACGGCTCGGGCAGCGAATGGGGCGCCCCGCCGCCCACTCTGGCCGATGACAGGTCGGTAGTGCTCAAGGCTCTGCCGACCAGCCGCACCGTCAAGCTGCCTGGGGGCGTCAACAACAGATGGGTGGTCAACCCACCCCCGCGGCAGGGGTGCAATAGCAGCAGCAGCCCCCGGTCGGTGGCCATCGACTGGCGAGGGCTGCACGGCGCCATCCACAAGTGGGTCGACATGCGGGAGCAGCCAAGGTCGCTCTCACAGCCGCCACCGCAGCAGATCCACAAGGACGGCAATCACCACCGCCACCGCCACAGCAGCAGCAAGCATATGCGCCGATCGAGGCGCCGTCGGTCGTCGTCCCCGCTCGTCTGCACGCCGAGCGTCATATCGTCGTCTGTGGTGTCGCGGTCGACGGGCAGCGGGAGCACATCGGTGATGGGGTCGAGTGTGGCGACCATGAGCATGACAGGGGGCCAGTCGATGGTCCAGGAGCCCACACTGGGGGAACTGACGGACTCTACATTCCCTTCACTCAGGTACGGACATCCCACGTGGCTTCGTCTCGGTTATTGTCCATGTGTTTGTCTCATTCTGTGTGGGCAGATACGTTGATGTCGGCTGTCACTATGCCACTCCGTCTCCCGCATCCAATCGCCGGTCACGCCAGCGTTCGCGAGGCCAGCACCCGGAGCACAGTCACGTCCACCACGGCCATGGGCATCACCATCGGCGCCCCAAGGGACGCGGCATCACCCACGAGCAGAAGACCGTCCAGCTGAATGCCGCAGAGGTACATAGTACGGCACGAGACGCACACCGGGTACATACGCTGGCTGAGAGGCATCCCTTTTGGTGTGGCTGGGCTGTTTTCAGGACGCTCGCCACCCGTTCCCTCCCCCTCCCCCCTGCCCCCGATCGAGGCGTCTGGACGAGCTGACGCCCCCACACAACGGACAGAAAAAGACACTCCCGCCCTCCCTGGCTCTGCCCCCTTTGGCCGAGTCCCTGTCGCGGAAGACCAGTGGCAGCGAGCAGCGGAGCGAGTCGTCGCTGTCCACCCGATGCGACGAGCGTCAAGACAGCAACAACAACAACAGGGGCAGCTCGTCATCGGTGGTCGTCGACATCGCTTCGCCGAAGCATGCTGGGGTTGGGAGTGGCAGCGACAGCAACACGGCGGTTTCTCTCGGCCCCCTGATGAGTCTGCTGTTCGCGCCGCAGCATTGGTGTCCGGAGGGCGGGTGCATGAGTGTGCAGCGTGGTGAGATGAAGATCAGCCGGGTCATCCGTGTCATGATGCAGGTGGTAGTGTGGCTCATGGTCGCGGGCGTGTTGGTACTCGCGGGCATGGGGCTTGCCTCGCTTCTCAGCGACGTATAGTATAGAGGGACGATGGGCGGTAGTAAGTAGGTAATCGTTTTTCGAATGCCTGTTGTGTCGCGTCGCGTGGTTGTTGGTGTTACAGTACGCCTGGTGGATGAAGGGCCAGACAGTGAGGGAGGATGGCCGGAGGGACGGAGGGATATGGCTGGCGTCCATCTGCATGTGTCTGTCTGTCTGTCTGTCTCTCTGCATGTGCCTGCATGTGCCTTGATACGATACATGGATGGGATGCATACCGGCAAGCCGTGCTGCGAAATGAGCGGCAGACGGCCGTGTATGGCATGCATATCTCTGCAGACGTGCATCCAAGGGTGACGGATTAATTAAATTGGTGTATAGCTATCTAGTGAGAAATTCAGGTGTGTGGGGAAAGAAAGAGCCGGGGGCAGGGAGGGCACGGCGTCACTGTTATAAGACACACATGATGCATATTGTTTTGATGAACCAGACGGCCGTGTGGCCGAAGTTTTGTGTCTCTGAGAGACACCCAATTCATGCACACATACATATCACACACGACGGCCCTTCTCCTGCGTAGCTAAGGCTTTTTTGTGGGGGCATTTCTAGTTTCGTGCCTAGGGTTATGCCGCCGATTGTGTAGCGAGTGCGAATGTGGAGAGGGGGCAGGCGGCGGACGGTTTGACGCGTGGACGTACAGATGAATTGGTGTATAGGGGTGAGTGAGTAGATGTGCGTGCACGCCATTTGGGACAAGGCGACATGACACCACTATGGAATGCAAGGAGACAGAGCGATATGTATGGCATGTATGTGCAGACAATTAACTAGCTGTTCGGTTGTGTTTCGTGTTGTTGTGTTTCGTCTATCGTTTTGGGTGTGCACAGAGAGAGGAACGCTGGTTTTTTGGCAGCGAAAACAGAAAGAGAGAAGCGACACGAAAGGCATTGAAGATGAAACGAGTCACGGGACGTCAGTATATGTACACAAGAAGAGATCCATATCGACGCACTATCAATCGTGGGCAAAACTTCGCTTCCACGTTGCCTATCGCCAATGCATGTGCCGCCATCACGGCCCCGGCCCCACCACCGTCCCACACACAGCCACGCATACATTCGCATCTCCCATCAGGGTGTTGGCTGTCTGTTCCCCACCTAGACCCCGTACTTGTTCCTTCAGACAGACAGACAGACAGCCTCCCTCCTTGCATGCCTGCCTCTGTGACCCACTTTGGCGATTGCACGGTGCATGACGACTTACTTGCGGGCTTTCTACACTTGTACCGCTGTCTGTTTGCGTATCCTCTCTGATGGCAAATTCGACGGCCATCTGCATGGCCTTATGGATGGCAGGTTTTGATTCACGCACCGGTGTGCAAGCATCGTTGCCGCTGCCTCCCTCCCCTCCCGTTGCCATCCGTCGGGGTGTGCATGAATGCGTCTGCACTGCATTGCATTTTGCGTTTCCACTCATGGACTTGTATCTTCCTCACTTGTCTGATTGACGGCATCTCCTTTCCGCGACGAGTTTACCGGCTTGCGAGCTCGGAAGAGACGCCATCTTTTCCCAGCCAGGAGGCTGTGTGTGCTTCTCACCACCAGCATGCAGCTGCTATCTCTGATCTCTTGGTGTCTGTGCTGTATCGGCTCCCATGGATGCAACCTCAGCGGCCTCTGGCAGGCACAGATGCCGCCCAACACACAGGTATGGAGATGAGATATGCTATGCTATGCGCGCATGCCAACGTACACGACGCTTGTGTGGTGTGTGTTTGTGCAGGGCGCCACTTACCGCGTGTCTGCTTTGGACGATGAGAGGCGTGTGTATGAGGTGCTGAGCGTGACGAGGCCACAGCAGGTCAACAGCACATTCGACTATGGCCCGATGCGAGTAAATGGTATGCATTGAGCGAGGCGACCTGCAGTGCTCACCTCTGTGTCGATGTGTGTGTGTGTCTGTTGACCAGAAGCGGATGGGTCTGTCGAGGTCACATTCCACCTCGTCCATCAGATCAAAGGAAAGATCGAGGTCAGCAGGCAGTCCGTCTGTATGTGGGTGAATGAGTGCACGTCTGCGTTGCACCTGCAGGGCTGCAATGCCATCCAGTGGTCTGGGAATGTGGCTGCGAAACGGTAGTTGCAGACACGAAAAGGCGGTTGAATGAGGGGCTATGTGGATGCATGTGTGATTGATTGGTGCAGGTGGGTGCGGCTGCCGGATGTCCACACCCTGTTCGTCGTATCCATGAACCATCTGGACGTGGTGGGCGACACACACACGTGTATGCTATCGACAGCTGAGCTGCATGCACAGACAGACACCTGTGTCGTGTCGTGTGCGTGCGTGTGCGTGGCCGGCAAAAGGGCTATGACGGCATCAACAATTACAACAAGGTCGGCTTCATAACGAATGTGATCAACACCTACTTCCATGCGCACTTCCCTAGGGCCATGAGCATACAGGTCGGTGCGGACGGACAAACGTGCTCACCTATATTATGTGCAGTGCAAAGGAAGAGGTGCGTGTGTGGTGTAGGAAACCCTCCGCAAGATGAACCACCCCATTGGATACGTCTACACGTACGTAAGGAAGGAAGCCTGCGTACCCCATTAATTGGATGTGTGGATCCATGCCTGTGTTGAGTGCAGCACCCATGCATGGCTGATCAGCTTGTATCTCGATTGCCCCACTGGTCCGTCCGTGCCCTCATACGAACAACACAACACGTGCACTGCACACGAGCGCCCGTGTTGTGTGTATGTGTAGATTTGACTCTGCTGGGCGAGCCGCTCATCTGTCCCAGCAAGAGGGAGCAGGAACGGCTGATTCAAGCCATATACAGAGGGTAGGTGGCTGGTCGGTTGGGGGGTTCACACATCATCCATCCCATGCACAGACGCAGACACTCAGACATGCAGACATCCATGCCATGCCATGCCATGCACTGGGTGCGTTTCTTTCTCTGATGTTCGTTCTGCAGTGACATAACGTGGCACGCCTTCCCCTTCAACAGCCAGATAGAGATGATGGACCTGCCAATGTTCGAATTCGGTAGGTACCTCGCAGACCAGACCCCGCATCCATGCCATGCAGGCTTGCGTGCGTGTGGTCATTGCTGTCTGCACTGCATGTGTTGTGTGAGCAGGTCTGCGTCTCGCCCGTGATCTCGACGACCGTTTCGGCATCAACCAGGACATCAAAGTCATGTATGCCAGCCACAGACCTGCATTCACACATCACATCCACGGCTATGACCTGTATACATCTGGATGCAGGTCGCAGCGTGATGTGCCCGGGCTGACTCGTGCCGCCATCCCAATACTCAAGAAACACGGCGTCAAGGCAATCACCGTCGGACAGGTTCACACGCAGACACACAGATGCACACGATGTTGCGCATTTGTGTACGGATGTTCCTGCAGAATTATGGAGCACCAGCAATCGACCCGCCCGCATTCGTGCGTACTACATCCACACACAGACATGCCGACATTATCCATGTGTGTACTTTCGCTCACAGATATGGAAGGATCCCCTCACCAACAGCTCCATCTACACCCTCTACCACCCACACCAGTGAGAACGAGTGCCTGCAATGCATTGCATTTACGGACACAGAGACACACACGTCGCCGCTCTCTCTCGTGCCTCTGTCCTGTCCAGGTATGGAGGCATAGAGAGCGGCGACGTGACGATTCTACCCAATGGATTCGGCATCGTGCCCAACATCAGACAGGCAAGACAAGACAAGCGAATACATTCAAAACACAACACACATGGATGCGATGCACCAGTCAGTCCACTTGTGTGTGTCAATGCGATGCGGCCGTGGTATGCCCGCAGGACAACGACGGGCCGCCTCACTCTGTTGAGGAGATCCTCAGCGACTACAATCGAATGCAGATGGAATATCCCGTATGCACTCGACACACACATATACCACACCTTGGTCTCGGTACATGTGTTGGTGCGCTGCACGCCTCCATCAGAATGCGCGCATCGTGTCTACTGGGTGGAATGAATTCATTGAGAAGATGGGCGACATCGAGGACTGTAACCGCATAACTTTCTCACCAAGAGACACATACATGGAGTCTCTTCACATGTGTGTGTGTGCGTCTCTCTCTCTCTGTGTGTGTGTGCGTGTGGGTGCAGGCGACTATCTGCCCACTTTGACCGGTGAGATCGGCGACGTCTGGATACAAGGTGGGTGGATCCAAACACGCCATGTGATACATACATACAATGCCATGTGATGTGTCCTGTGTATGACAGGAATCGCGAGCGATCCGCTCAAATTGGCGCTCTACAGGTCGATCCATACACATACACACCGGCAGGCGCCCCGCCAAAACACACACTCACTCCTCTGTCTGCTGCACGCACACCCGTGTGCAGGGAAATCTCTCGTGTGCGCGCCGAGTGCTTCTCCTCGGGCAAGTGTCACGACGACGACCCCGTTCTCTACGACTTCTCCCGCTTCATGCTCAAGGTGACTGGCCGCACTGCCTTGCCTTGATGTGCTCGTGTGTGTGAGAGTCTGTGAATCTCTCTGTGTTTGCCTGTCCCTGTGTGTGTATATGCAGGTGGCCGAGCACACATGGGGGCTTCCTGGCGTCGGTGACACCAAACACTGGTACGAAGGAAGGAATGGCTTGGCGGGGAGGTGGCCGTCCGTATGGTTTCCATACCATGCATGGTGTGTCGTGCCCTTCTGCCAGGACCAACGACGCCTTCGCATCGGTCCGTGAGACGGACATCTTCCAAAAGCACGAGATGAGCTGGGCCGAACAGCGTGTGATGATGAACGAGGCGATCCGCATGCTTCTCCAGGCCAACCATCCACTGGGACAGGTGCGGTGCGCATAAGCAACATGACATGTGCCTTTGTGTATGGTATACCCACCCCGCGTGTGTGCAGATGATTCTCTCGCGCATCCGAGAGCTGGACCCCACCCCGCCGTCTACTGACGCCCTCACCAAAATGACCAACAAGACCGACACGCTCAAATGCACAGCCGGTACGCGCAGAGGCATCTGTGCGTATAGATCTATACTGGCCAGAACGTGTGCGCGGTGGATGGATGGATGGATGGATCATTATTCATCAGGTGACAACTCGAAAGGCCTATCAATCGCTTTTGACGGGCAAACAGGCGGCATGCGCGTTGTGGAGGTATCGATGCATACCCCTACACACACGTGGGCATGTGCGGCATATGTATGTCTGTTCTGTGTGGACAAAGGTGAGTGATGGCGGGTCCAAATATGACGTGTCGGGCATGATGGCGGGGGAGCTCAGCTACCAGACATTCACTGAGGATGACTTCAAATACATGCAGGTGCGGTGCGTCCCTCTACGGGCAGCGCACTCATACACACACACGCGGCTGTATCTTGGGTGGTGCTGCACAGGCCGTGTACGGTGGCGACGCGGGCTACCACAAAATCAACGCCACCAGCGCGGCCCCCGTGCAGAAGCGATGGATGCCGCAGCTCAACGATGTGTACTGGTACGCTCCTGTGTGTGTGGCACATCACATCCACACACACATATGGAATTGGGAAACATATGGTTTTGGATGGACGGGCAGGGATGCATCGTCGTGTCGCGCCGTGGCTGTTTTGGGTCTGCCTGACGAGACGCACACCAAATACGGAGGGCCAAAACAAACCATGATGGGGGTGAGATACTTACACAAACATCACAGCACACACATGGCATGCATTCCCATCTGCACACACACAAATGGATGGATGGATGGACGGACGGACAGGCCAAGTTGCTGCCCGACACGTCGTCGGTTGAGGTGACTTTGCACATCATCAACAAAACCACAACGCGACTGCCCGAGGCCGCTTACCTCTCATTCTACGGCCAACCGGGTGACGGAGACGCTGACGACACGTGAGTGGGGGGGTGGCTTTCTCGTGTGGTCGCCGGCCGTGAATGGGCCCGCGTCTCCATGTGTGTGTGCGTGTGCAGGTGGGAGATGGACAAGCTTGGTCAGTGGATCCGCCCAGATGAGGTCATGAGACATGGGTCAATCTACCAGGTACCTACCCCACGACCGCGCACGCAAAGCCATACACGCATTATGTGTTATATGTGCGCGGCTTTGTCTTCCAGCATGGCGTGCTGTCTGGCGTGCGTCGCGTGTCCTCCTCCCAAAGGATGCTGATCGAGTCGCTTGACGCCGCCCTGACCACACCCATCACCGACCGCAAAACAATCGAGGGCAAATGGCAAGGCACACCTACGGCTCTACCCGGTGAGCAGAATAAATCAGACCATCCTTGAGGCACGTGAGAGTGTGCGGGCTGGGCTGTACCTGCGTGTGTTTCGTTCCTTCAGTGCCTGTTGGTCCCATGCTTTCAACCGAGAGGGTGCATGGGATGGCCTTCAACTTGTGGAACAACCTGTGGGACACCAACTACGTCCTCTGGTCTGCACACACACACACACACACGCACTCATAGTCATCCACACGTCTCCCTTGCTGCACGCGTGTTGGTATGGGCATGTAGGTATCCGTACTTGAAGGGCGAGTTCAAAGGCGACAAGGACGAGAACATCAAGTACCGATTCAGAGTGACCGTCGACAAAGGCAATGGCGCCGGCGAGGCTACCAGCACGCCCACCAGCAAGAAGACGATGATGCGTATGGTCAAGTAGCGCATTCAGTGCCGCAACAAAGGAAGTTTTTTGGTCAGTGTTTCCGTCCGTTTATGTATGTGTGTGTGTATGCCCCTACGTGTCCGTGTCTACGGTCAAGTCCTACGGTCAAGTCGCCTCGAAGTTTTCTCTCGTACGTGTGTGTGTCGTCTGTGAGGTGAGGTGCGACTTTTTTGTGTGCTTGCTGGGTGATTTGGACGTGAGCCAGACAGACAGACAGACAGACAGCTGCATAAATGTCGGCTTAGTCGTGCAGCAGTTTTCCTGGTGTGTCGCCAATTGCTCCGGAAGGTTGCGAGGGGTCGTATGCGTGTGATGGTACCACTTTTTCCGTCCCTTTGAGGCCTGACTGGGAATGATGGATGGGTGAATGTGACTCTGCGCAATGCAGTGGCCATCCATTGTTGAAAGTCTTGTGTGAGAAAGCCGGGCGATACAGTGGCAGCAAAACAGCGCACGAATACACCGACAGAAGCACGCAGTCAGGCAGACCAGAAAAGACCGCCGTGCTGCATCGTGTCGTGTGTGGTCCATCAAATGCAGCCTCACGTTTGCTGCTTTGCGGGCCAGCCATGGTGACACGAACATTTCCGCCTGCTCTCTTTTCCCTCTCCGTCGTGTGTGTCAGGTACCAAAGCATCAGTGTGCCCACCGGAATGATCGATACAATGGGCGAACGGGGCGGGCTGACTAATAAGTGACACTGTGCAGCTTGTGTGCATGTGTCTTGTGTCCCTTTGCTGGTGCGTACTCGGACAGATGTGTGTGAATTCGAATGCTGACTCTGAATAACATGCGTATGCTTGACTTTATTTAATGCATGTGTGTGTTGGTCGTTGGTCTGTCAGCCCACCAAAACAACACAGTCAGTCACATCATGCTGCGCAGCATGATCGATTATGTACACAACCGTTCCCCTACTAGGCAGCTGCAGCAGTCATCCCGCCGCAGCCCTTCCTTCTACTTGTCGACATCTGGCTGGTGTCTTGTCTGCTGACCACATCTATGTCATTCGCTGTCCCACCCTGAGTCGTGCGGCGGCTCGCCTCGGCTGTCGAAGTCAACACTGCAGCACAGCAACGCACATCCACTCACTCGACCATCAGCCTGTTGACTTGTTTCTTCCATGTCCCTCTCACCGTCTGTCGTATACGAAGCCATCGTCGCCAGGCTTGACCTGGTTCCTCAGAAACGACTCCTCCATCTTGCCCTTGGCACGCTCCAGCTCCTCCGCACTCACCTTGTTCAGGTCCACGTGGCTGAAATCATGAGCAGCAGCATCCCCCTGCTTGCCGTTCTCCTGTGGATGGATCCAGCTGAGTGGCGGCCTCGAATCGCCCTCGGTGTCATCTGCTGCTATCATGGGTGACGGATTGTTGATCGAAGAAGGGATGATGCGGGGCAGGGGGCTGATGGAGTCATCCTTCTCCTTGGCTGAGGGCTTCAGTGGCTGCAGCTTAATGCCCGCATCAGGCCGTCTGCCCGCCATGCTCATCTGCAGCCTCCTGATGTTGCTGGTCAGTTGCTCCGAAGCAACGCCCTTGCAGTGGCCTGGGAAGTGTTTGCGGATGCATCGCTCCACTCTGTCGACAGGGCTGTCGGGCTGCAGACTGGCGAGGACGATGGGACGGATTTGAAGCTTGCCGAGAGTGGGATTGTACATCTCGATCACAATAGATGGCGGGTCGTGTTTGAAGCCGATGCGGCGGGCCTTGCACGTGGCACCATCGTCCACATGAACGACGCCCGGCATTGGTTTGGATCTCTCCTCTTTCGCTTTTCGAGCTTGCAGTCCGTGAAACCGCTCCCGGACATTCTGTGAAACCGCTCCCCCCGTGAAACCGCTCCCGGACGATAACCGCTGCCCCTCCCACGGACGTCCTCCCAGGTCACATCACCAGCATGGCCACCGGGAGACCCAAAGCCGTGTTTGTCATAGATGGCGCCTACATAAAGGTCAGGTGCACATCCAAACAACTCCACAGCCCAGCCACACGAGACGCATTGGTGTGCATCACGACCAGCTGTGACAGATAGACGCAGAGGGAAACACAAATGGATGGATGGATTGTTCTTTTTTGTGTCTGGTTGACTGACTGACAAAAACATTGAATATTCAGGCGAATTACAAGGAGTCTCAGCAAGACCGATCTGACCTGATGGGTGAGATGTTCTGCCGGGTGCTCAAGTACGTGCAGGACATACTGGGCGTCGACAACTCACAAACATTCTACTACGACGGAGATCCAGACAAATGGTATATGACACACGCGCGCACAGAGATAGCCTCGATCATCTGGCTATGGTGTCGTAGGTACTCGAAGGTGACTCGTGGCAGGGGTCATGGGGACCGCCAGAAGCGCACTGAGTTCCACAGCTTCCTCAGGCAGCAGCGCATCAACGTACAGCTATTCGACTTCAAGAAGCAGGGCGTCGGCTATAGCGACGGTAACGCAGCAATCGGTTCACGTCTGTAGTGTCGGCCTCTGTGTGTGTGTGTGTGTGGCGTCAGGTTGGGTGCAGCGTGGGGTTGACTGTTCCATCGCTATGAAGATGCTCGAAACGGCCTACGGTATGCATGCTGGCGCACCTGTCGCTCATAGTCACATTGGTTGACGATCTCTCTGTGTTTGGTCTGGCCTCTGTGTGTCAGAGAACTCGCCCGACTTCATCCGCCGGCGGGCCGATCAGGGCGAGAGCAGCACCCAACACGCAGAGTCCGACATCAAGATGATAGTCCTGTAAGCAACCTTACGAACAGAGGCCTGATGTGAGGTTGATGCATGTATGTGTTGTTGACTGGACTGGTTGTGTCAGGTTTGCGGGTGACTCTGGCTTTTCTGAGGTGGTTGACAAGTGCCGCCAGCTCAAGCTAAAAGTGGCCATTGTCGGATACTCACACTCCATCTCGTAAGCAGGCAACCTACACACACACACACAGAGGCGAAGGACAGCTGAGCTGCCCATGTGTGTCTGTGTCTGTGTGTGTGTGTTGTGCAGCGGTGAGTTGAAGACCAAACCCAAGGGGATGCGCATCATCGAGCTGGACAAGCCGCCCCACTGCCACCAGTGGCCCACATACGGCCCCATCGACCCCACACCAGCCGCCCCTCACATACCCTTCTCATACCAGCATCAGCAGCAGCAGCACACCAGCCCCCCCGTTCCACCACTCCACCTCCCCAAACAAGCCCCGCCTCCTGCTGCTGCCTCGAGGCGCCCCCCTCCCCTCCGCCCCGGCGATGGTGGTGGTGGGAGTGAGGAGCAGAAGAGATTGGAGAGGGCGCAGCGGTTCGGGCTGACTGATGGTGCTGGTGCTGGTGCTGGTGGCGAGACTGAGGAGGAGGAGGAGGAGGAGCAGGAGCAGGAGGAGGAGCGCCGGAAGATGCAGGAGCGGCAGATGCGGTTCGGGGACTGCGGCCGCCCGCCACCGCGGCCGCGGCCGGCGGCTGCCGCCAAGCCGTACCAGCAGCAGAGCATGATGGGCGGTGGTGCGCCTGGTCGTCCACCACGGGCCGAGCTGGTCAAGATCGACTCGAGCGCACAGCAGAACAAGGCCAAGCAGCAGCCCAACCACCATCAGCATCCTCCTGCACCACCCGCACCGGCCTCCCAGCAGCCCAACCGACACAGCCAGCACCACCACAACAACGCAAATGCGCCATCGTACCACTCCTACGCCGGTGCGGCTGCTGCGGCTGCCGGGGGCCACTACGCCCAGCACCCCCACACCACACACGGGACAGGGGCGTTCCGGAAGCGTCGCCAGGCGACTCAGCTTGACCGTGACAGCATGGAGGACAGCGACGAGTTCCCCAACCGTGGCGACAAGAACAGGGCCTTACGACCTTGGGCACCCGGCGCGTGAGTGCTCACACACACACCCCACACCCACACCCACACACTCGTAGATAGAGATTCCCACCCTCGATGGCTGGCTCAGAGACAGACCGGATCTGCATGTGCGTATGCGTGGGTGTGTGTGCAGATGTGGCGTGGCGTGTGTGTCTTTCCTTTGGTTTGTGCACTGATATGGGATGTCTTGTGCTTCGTGTGCCAGTGTCTTGTGCAGCCGAATGGATGGATGGACCGCCGGACAAGGGACGTTTGTGTGTGTGCGGTGTGGGGCGTGGGTTGGTGTGTCGGTGCCAGCCAGACAACCCAGCAGAAAGTGTCGCTCGCTCTCCCGTAGCTAGCTCCTGGCTTCTCTCTCTCCCCTCTCTCCCATTGGCCTGCCTGCCGCGTTGTGTTGCGTCACTTGAGCTGACTTTTGCCGCCCCACCAAACACACACACACACACACACACAGAAACAGAAAGGGCAGAAAAGGACGGAGAGAGCGACACATGGCACCCACACAACCACACACCCGCCCCCGCCCACATCTCCAACTTGTTTTTGTCCCATTCTGGATACTCCCTACATGCAATTCGGCTGCCAGCACGTAGCCATTGCTGGCCGGATGGATGGATGGATGGATAAAGATAAGGAAAGGACCGTTGGGAGAGGGACAGGGAGAGGGGAAAGTCGAGTTGTGTGATGTGTGTATTGGTTTGTACGTTTTTGCCCCTTTTACGTACGTCGCATGTCAACTGTTGCCTGACATGAGTATGCGTTGATGCCAAGGCATGCACCAGCTATCCAATGAGTCACTCACTCGTGTGAATGGATCCCACACGCACACGTATGGACACTGACATAAAGGCTAGAAGCGCAAGTCAGGCTGGGCTCGGTACACAGCACGATAGACAGCATGACGAGAGACAGCATGGACTGAGGGGTCGATTGGCTACGAGGAGGGGTGCCGCATCGCCCTCCCCTCCTGGTGTGTTGCCTCCCCTCTGCTGCCGCCCAGCGGCTGCACCCCAGCTACCTCCAATGCCACCCCACCGCTGCACACGCCCGCCACGGCCCCCAACACTCACTCCTCCACGTGCAGTGGCCGTTGCCGCCCCACTGCACGTCAGCCGCTTCCGATGTCGTGCGTGCCGCTGTCCGACTCCATCTCAGTCAACCCGCCAGCTGCCGTCATGAAACAAGGGACAGTCTCACTCTTGTCTTGGGCTCATCTGGAGTTCTCGTATGTGTATACCTGTTGTGATGGCCTCGTTGACCTTTGGAAGTAGTGTGATGGCGTCGCCCAGCTTGTTGCGGGCGATGGCCACTGCCCGCTGGAAGGCAGCAGGGCCACTGCCGCACCCCTGGGGCGCCTCGGTGGTGTGGAGGGAGATGGATGCCCACACATCATGCCACTCGGTCATGATGATGCGTGCCGACCCACCAGAATACTTGAACATCCTGATGCAGGCCGCAAAGTCGTCGCCCTCCCTGTCGCCACACAGTATGACGAGTCGGCCTGAGAAGCCGTAGACGGTGCGGCAGCCGCCCCACAGGGGCGACTGCTGGTCGATCAGGCCACCGATGCGACGATACCCAGCAGAGTACCGACTGTAGGACCGATACGACACCTCACGCGACGACAGCACGGCCAACCTGAAAGAGCAAGCAGCGAAAAGGCAGACAACACGACACATCGGTGTGTCGTGTTCTCTCATTTCAGTCGCTACGTACCAAAGGATGACCAGTCCTGTGAAGCTGCCGAAGTCGTCACCATTGTCTGCAGGCACACACACACACAGCGGCAGAGACCATCCATGTCAAGTTGCCTTTCCTGTGGTGCTTTGCCCTCCCCTCTCTCACATCGGCACGGGGGATCGGCCGCATCAAAGCGATCTCGGTACTCAGCCGGCACCGTCTGCCGTGTGTGCACCGTCACCACATACTCGCCCATCATCTCCCGCCTCAGCCGCATCCTGTCACCCAGCCGGTGGCTGAAGAGGGCGTACTGGCGGATGGCCTCTGGGCGGCTGTCGATGATGGCCTTGCTGCCTACCTCCTGCAGGTCGTCATTGGTCAGGTCGATCGGCAGCGACTGCACTCGTCCACAGCTCTTGGCGAATCGCAGCACCGGCACGCTGCCCGTCCAGTCGCCCCCCGTCACCATCAGGTAGTCCAGCCGGATCAGTCGGAATGGCCGACGGACACCGGTCGACCGGCGCAGCGGGGTGTAGCCGATGACGCAGGTGAGGCCGTTCGTCTCGATGATGCTGTCGATGGCCGACACCGCAGCGGAGCCGATAGCGTTGCCGACCTCAGTGGATGTGCAGCAGAGGGTGCTCTTGAGCTTGAGTGCGAGGGTCTCCCGCCCGCCACACAGGGGGAGGAGTGTGGTGGTGATGATGTCGGTGGGGAGGGGGGGCATGAAGGAGGGCGGCAGGAACAGGAGGGACAGCGGGTCCTCGGCATCGCGCGGCTTGATGCTCGGGTCCACACAGAAACGCTCCGCATCAGCCTGAACACCCAGGGAAAAACGGCACATTACCCGCCAGATGTCACTTCCGCTTCTCCGCATGATAGACCTACCTCATCCACGGTTTGCAGAGGGATGAGATGCTGCGGGGGAGTATGGTCGAAGTAATGGAATCCATGGCCTCCCTGATGACACGCACAGTCACACACATACCAGGATGTGTGCACGCCTTGATGCCACACGGCTCCCATTCTACCGCCTCTCTCTCCCTGCCTGTCCTGTGTGTGCGTGCCTACCGCGTATAGGTCAGGGAGTTGTTGGAATGCTGCTGTGGTGTGGGGCACCACGACCGGCTCAAACTCCTCATTCATCCCACCCACCTCCCGGATGCACACCCGCGTCCCGCCCTCGGCCGGCTCGATTTTGTACACCTCGGCCTCCACCCACTGGAACTTGTCGTCCCTTCTCCGCTCCGACACCATCAGCACGCGGCTGCCCACACGATACCGACACGGCGATGCACCGACAGCCGCCTGCGGGACACATCAGCCGTGGGCGTTGTGCTGTGTGGTCGTGTGCTGTTCGGTCGTGTGCTGTTCTGCTCTCACCTGTGGATGAGTCATTTGGCCGGAAGAGCTCGACGATGCCATCGTGACGATAGAACGAGATCTACACTCACTCCAGATCTACACTCACTCACTGCACCCCCCTCACTCACTGGAGCTCTTTGGCTTCAAGCTCGCAATTAGCTCGCAATTGGCGCACGGGCCCTTTAGAGGCTGCGGCACGGTCCTGTGGCCTTTGCGACGTCGAAGGTGCGAAAACACTGAGATGAAGCGACGGCGATGGTTCATTTTCCCAATCACATCTGTGCTGCGCTGTGTGTGGCGGATCGCCCCTTTGTAGCGTTCGGATGGCATCGACACACGCGGAAAGGACACGGTCAGACACCGATGGCGCACATTGAGAGAGGGAGAGGCCTGAGGGATGATTTCACCTCCCTCTGCACGTGTGTGTCTGCAGCTCCCACGGTTGACGGGTGCGGCGCCATTGATTGGCTCATTCACTCATCGTTTGACTGATTTGCTTGCTCGTCCAGTCGCTGCCTTTCCACCGGTAAGCACAGCACGAGAGATGACAGACGGATGCACGACGCACACTCACTGCGCCATGGTGCGGTGGTCTTCAGGCGTCGTGTTGGTTGCCGTGAGGACAGCGGGTGGCACTATGAACAGCACATCGGCATCAGCTGCTGCTGCTGGTGGGCTGACTGGTTGGGAGAGGAAGGGAGGGAGGGAGGGAGGGAGGGTGGGAGAGAGAAGGGTCAGTTGT